TTGAAGCACGCGAAATCTCCCGCTCCGACTCAGCAGGAGGACACTTTCCTTGCGGATAGCAGCAGCTGCAACGAGGATCGCAGTGGTCGCGCAACGCCAACAGGCGATTACAGCGGTACCGAGGAAAGGAGACCGAGCACAGGACCCACTCCCTCGTTACTCAGACAATCTGAAGCAAAAAGCAATCGCAAGCCCAGTGGCGACCATCGGGCCGAGCTCCTGTCCCCTCATGACGACCCTATTTCTAGACGTGGGTCAGCATCGCAGTCTGCTTCAGAAGTTGAGGACGAAGGCTGGGTCATTACCGAATCAACTGACAGGGTGCACCGTACCGACAAGAAAAGCCCAGCTGCGAAGCGCGTGTGGCTTGATACCACTCTACCCGACGCACTCATCGATACTACCGACGACCTCAAGTTGCCATTAGAAGGTGCGCGATCATCCCAGCAGTCACTCGACAAGGTCTCGCCAGACGCCAATACCCCAACCTCACCTAATGACGTCTTCCTCTCTGCTACCAGTCTGCCCATAGTGCAGGTTGAAAGTCGCGACTCCGACACCATGCCCGCTGTTGTCGAAGACCGATCGATGCACAGCGAGCCCACTGATGCAGAGCGTGAACGTGCATTCCAGATTTACAGCGGCGATGATTCCTCTAGTCTGAAGGCCCAAGCGGCTACCTTGTTGGGCGATGTCAGCTTGTCCAGCACGCGCATGCGAAAGGCCTTTATGGACCTCTTTGACTGGACAGGCATGAACATCTTGGCTGCTATGCGTGACCTTTGTGGCAAAATCATTCTCAAGGCCGAGACTCAGCAGGTTGACCGCATTCTCATGAGTCTCTCAGAGCGCTGGTGTGAATGCAACAGCAGCCATGGCTTCAAGGCAGTCGGTAAGTAGCTCACTTTGCTATGAAGAAACACAGCTGACCGACGACAGATGTCGTCCATACTATTTGCTATTCCATCCTGCTGCTCAACACAGATTTGCACTTGGCTGATATCGAGTCGAGAATGACACGAAGCCAATTTGTCCGTAACACACTCCCTACAGTCACTCGCGTCTGTCAAGATTCAGTCAAGGCTGCAGGAGAAGAGACGCTAAGGCCACATTCCACTCACTTCCGAAGACCATCCCTGCCATGGAATGAGAAGTCAGAACCCAGCTCGCCGGGTCCTGACGCTACTACATTCTCTGCGGATGTGGAGGAGCCTGCGGAGGCTAGGAAAACCCGCAGTCGTCTCTCCATCCGACCTCCTGCTAGAAGTGGCTCAGAAGGTCTACTTTCCTTTGACTCTGCAGTATCCGAGTCTAACACACTTGTCAACTCGCCATACAATGGTCCTATGCGAGGATGGGAGTTCCAGGTCGAGACGGTGCTCAAAGAGTTCTACGATTCTATTCGTAAACAACGCTTGCCCCTCCATGGGTCTTCCGAACCTGTTGTTCATCATCAGCCTTCGTCCAACAACCTCTCCGTCAGCAACATGCTCCGCCGCACTCCCAGTGTGTTGAGCAAAGCACCGTCCGACAACACGAGTTACCGTGGTCGATCCCAAAACGATTTCCGCAATGTGGGCAGTCGATGGGCCTCTAAGAACCGCTCAAAGCAAAGATTGTATCCTTCATCTACCGTGGCATCTAGCCGAACCAGTCTGGACGACGGATCAGTATGGAGCCCCGCCGGATCCAGCTCTTGGAGTCGTTATTCGTACGGCAAGACCGGTACTTCCATGTCGGTGGACTCACTGGGCTCACACTTTGCGCATGGCGACTATCAACAGGCTATCGGCTTTGCCAATGCTCTTAGTCAAGCCATCATCCGTGAAGAGGGCATGACTATTGCTAGCGATGAAGAATTCTCCCGTGTGGCTCCGTTGTTGGAAGACGAGACACTCGAGCTTGTTGGAGCACCCTGGGCCAAGGAAGGTATCCTCAAGCACAAGCGACATCTTGATTCAGTGGATAGGAAGGCAAAGGATCGAGCGTGGAATGAATGCTTCGCTGTCGTCGAGAAAGGCTGTATGCGTTTATTCTCTTTCAGCATGAACTCCAAATCTGTTAGGCAGAAGAGCAAGCTACGACCATCTGCTGGTGGTGTTGTAGGAGGCGGCAACTGGATGGACAATGCGGAAGCTTTGGACAGCTTCCCACTCCGCCAGACTATCGCCAGCGCGCTACCTCCTCCAGGATACTCGAAGACAAGGCCTCACGTATTCGCGCTTTCACTCCCTACAGGAGCAGTTCATCTTTTCCAAGTTGGAACACCTGACATCTGTCGAGAGTTTGTGTGCACCGTCAACTACTGGTCGGCTCGTTTGTCCAAAGAACCTCTCATGGGTGGTGTCAGCAGCATGGAGTACGGTTGGGGTGAGAATGTCATCAACCCAGCTCTGATCCGTCAAGACAGTGCGCCATCAGTGCAAGGCCATATGCCCCGTCCGAGTGTCACAAGCTCCCTTCGTAGTTCGATGGACCATGCCACCGGCACACCAAAGCCCAGACTTCCCGGAGATAAGGTCGTCTTATCGGATTGGAGCCCACCAGCATCAAGCATGATGGCTAGTACCCTGATGGAAGTGGATCAGCTTAGAGCTCTTACCGACTATGTTAAGAACATTGAGACCGAGCTCGCTCACCACAACGAACTCAGAGCGCCATTGCTCATTGCCGTAAGTATCACCTTCCCGCTTTTCCATGATCATGACTAAGACACAATATCAGTTTTCGCCTCGACACCCCAATGCTCAGAAGGCCATGGCCAACTGGGAGCGCAAATCGCAATACCTTCTCAGGGAAATTGTGAAATTCCGGACCTATATTGACACTCTAGCAACTGCACAAGCGCAGAAGCAAAAGATTTATGCCGAGCGCGAAGCTCGTGAACAACAAGAGATGGAGGAGTCAGAAAAGGAAGCAGTCGCTACTCCGAAGGCCACTGAAGATGATGGTGCGAATGAAGCTTCCGAGCCTGCTCCATCCAAGACCATGCCAAACCCAGCTCTACCAGCAGCTTTCCTTTTACATCCCTGATCGCTGCCTTTCTGATTCTGGCATATACTGACGATTGATTTCTTTGTTACGAATAGTTACTCCTCTGAGGCGCACGATACGGCGTTTGCAACTGCTTCATTCGTCAAAGCCGAGTTTGAGACAGCGGCCGCACTCGGTGGCCTGACATCTTGTTATACCTATTGTAATATGTACGATTTCTGTACGTTCGGCGTCTTGAGCAGTTTTTTTTCCTATCACCTTTTCAGTTTAGTATGTTACTGCTTCATTCCAACGAACAAGACGATCAATCGCGAAAGTCATTTTGTATGGGACGGTACTTTGTGTACGATTATATTCGCTCTCAGCCATTATCAAGCTCGGGAAGATTGATGATGCATTATGGTTTTTATGGGATGGAGCTTGGTTCTTTGCAGTTATCCATTAGAAAGGGTGGAAGAGCACGATGAAGAAGCAATTGTTCAAACATTATACCCCACGTTTTCGAATAGCATACTTTCGATACTAGCTCTTGTTCCTTGGCTTTCTTGACATGGTTATGCGTGTCTATTTCTGGTGTGTTAACGTAGCATACATGACAGCTGGGAGTAAACGCACGTGGTTTGTCGCACAGCTTGCATGCGTATACACCGATTGACGAACGGCATCTCGTTACATCGCCCTCAGCCACTCTACATACCCTAGTCTTGAACAACGCACATGGCGACGATAGCTCAGAGTGCTGTAGCTTACTATTCAATGTAACTCCCATAGCCACCACCACGACATCAATGATGCTATTCAAGAAGCTCATTGCGCCCATTTCGAACTACTACTGCAGCTAGAACAACAGCGCGCGACAAAAGCGCAGCAGCGTTACGCCGAACACATTCGTAGTATCTACTCTTCTCCCAATCATCGTGTCTCGAGCCAAAATACCATTCGGTCCTCGCCGTTGGCGTGCAGCGTTCTGCGCAAGCCACACGAGGGGCTAGATTGTCCTAGCGCCAGCCTTTGAAGACAGGGTGCAGCAGCCAGCGCTTTGGTGTGCTTTGGTGTAAGGACCTGAACTGGATGGAAGAGTGCCCGAAAGGCTCCTTGCCACTACGCAAAGGTGGGATCGCGTAGACGGTGACAGGACGGTTTGAGAAGAGGCTGATGGCACAGCATGTAGCCAAGTGGTGTTGTATGCCTATCGCGTTAGAGGCCGCATTCGGTGGGGCGCATGATGCTGTGTAGGAGATGTGGCTAGGGGCAGGGTAAATGGTAGATGGCTGAAGTAAGGGCCGATGGGTTGGTTTCGGAGATGGACTGGGATGGCAGAGTACCTATGTTAGAGGATTTGGAAGGAAATGATGTGAGAGACTTTGCGATGGGTAAGCACATAGGAATGCAGAAGTATAGATACCAATTAGAGTCGCAAAAGCAAGAATGTCACGACCGAATGTCGCCCAAAGTATTGCAATCCCTCCCATATCCAGAACAGATGCCGTACAACAGCATTAGTCGAGCCCAGCTCCAAGGAAACAGATCTGCCCCTAGTTGGACCCACCCTGGCCCTAGGGATCGTCGGTGTTGCCGTCTCGCGTACGAGACCGGACGAGCTAACTAGCCTTGTAGCTCGCTGGCATCGTGGCATCCCACGCGACCCCATGTCACGAATGGCAGAAAGAGGCTTCGACGGGAAGAGGAGGGACGAATTGGGCATGACGGACTGTTTGACGAATGGGAGGGCTACTGCGATGGGAGATGCGGCACTGGGGACTTGTCGTGCCTTGGGCCCACCAGCCAGACTGCCTTGACAGGCCTTTTCCGTTTTCTTTCATCTCCGTAGCGACTTATTTCCATCGTGCACGCCCCTAAATTGTCTGGATCCCCTACTGCTCCCAGAGATCCTCAGTCGTGTTGCCTATTGTCGAAATTGGTCTTGTCTACTCAGACATCTGGAGTTGAGTGAGATTTGAAGAGGCCCACGGGTTTGGAAGCTTGGATGCATCATCGGTAGCTTTGTCAGAGCTCAGCCTTAGCCATCCTTACCAGCCAAACCCCGCGCTACTACCGCATCTCTCGACGTTACCGACGCACCGTCAGCCGCACTCTATTACAGGACTGACGACCGCTTTCTTTCGCGTCTTATTTGAAGCAGTGAAGAGCGCGCTCCCAAACGGGCATTTGATCTCCCATCGTTCACGGCTATTCGGCATCTCCGCCTGAACGCGCGCACTTTGGAAGAAGCCCCGACCTCAATCGCACACTGTAACTCGACATGTCCTACTATCCCGGCCAGCAATACCACGGCGGCGGTGGCTACGGCGCCCCTCCACCGCCTCAGAATGGCTATGGTGGCCCGCCTCCACAAGGATACCCGCCTCCACAGCAGAACTACGGTGCTCCGTGAGTAGAGAATGACGAGTAATGCTCCACGGGTGCTGACGGATACCAGTCCTCCACAGCAATATGGATACCAGAGCCCACAACCACCCTACAACAACAACTATGGTCAACCTACGCCGCCTCCGCAGCAGTATGGATACAACCAGGTGCGCATATGGCATGCTGACAAGCAAACCATGGCTGGAGTCGAGGCTAATTTGCACAGGGACCACCACCACCACAGCAGTATGGCAACTACGGCCCACCGCCTCCGCAACAACCTCCCCGTCCGGGCATGATGCCCACAGCCAACAGCAATCAATGGACACATGGAAACCACAACGCGCCCCCACCACCGCCCTCGGGCGCACAGAACTTCGGCCATGGCGCACCCAACGGCTATTCGTTTCAATACTCGGCATGCAACGGTCGACGGAAAGCCCTCCTGATTGGCATCAACTACTTCGGCCAACGAGGACAGCTTCGCGGCTGCATCAACGATGTGAAGAACATGAGCACATACTTGAACGAGTTCTTTGGCTACAAGCGGGAGGACATGGTCACGTTGACCGACGACCAGCAGAACCCCATGAGCCAGCCGACTAAAGCCAACATCTTGAGAGCGATGCATTGGCTGGTCAAAGACGCGAGGCCAAACGACTCTTTGTTCTTCCACTACTCAGGTGCGCCTCTGCTTTTATACCGTGCTGCTTTCAGCCATGCTAACTCACACTAGGCCACGGCGGTCAAACCAAGGATCTCGACGGCGACGAAGATGATGGCTACGACGAGGTCATCTATCCAGTGGATTTCCGCACGGCCGGTCACATTGTCGACGACGAGATGCACCGTATCATGGTCACACCCCTCCAGCCCGGTGTGCGACTCACCGCCATCTTCGATTCTTGTCATTCCGGCTCCGCCCTTGACCTGCCTTACCTCTACTCCACCCAAGGTGTGCTCAAGGAGCCCAACTTGGCCAAGGAAGCTGGTCAGGGTCTGCTGGGCATCGTGGCGAGCTATGCGCGTGGCGACATTGGCAGCATGATTGGTGGTGCCACAAGTCTGTTTAAGAAGGCAATGAATGGAGATGAAGTGCACAAGAAGAACCTAAGAACGAAAACTAGCCCTGCCGACGTGATCATGTGGAGTGGATCCAAGGATACGCAGACTTCGTAAGTCTCTCCCCAACCCACCTCTAGATTTGATGCAGGCAATACTAATGCTGGACACTTTACAGGGCCGACGCAAGTATTGGTGGAGAAGCTACGGGAGCCATGTCTTGGGCTTTCATCTCTTCGCTCCGCAAGAATCCTAACCAAAGCTATGTACAACTGCTCAACAGCATCCGTGATGAGCTGCAGGGCAAATATGACCAAAAGCCTCAATTGAGCTGCAGTCATCCGTTGAGTGAGTGCTTTCCCATACCTCGCTATGAACGGGAATGGCAAACTGATTGAAATAGATACCGATCTGCTGTACGTCATGTAGACGTGTTTTTTCCGCAGATGAGGTTGTTGTAAGATGAGGCTATAATTCCGGATTTGGTCGTAGGGAATACTGTCTGACAGAGTGATACCATGACGCACCCATCCTTGGATGAAGAAGAAGTAGTAGTTGGGTGCAAAAATGCATTTTATCATGATCGAGTATACAACTTCTTTTGTATATACTTGGGGACGAGATACGACGGCGTTTCGAACAGGTCATTTGCAGTCATTGGAAGAGGGTGATCTTGGGGTAAAAGGAATCGTTATTCATTGCCATAGGGTATCGAACTTTCTTGTCTATCAAAGCTCGTCGACATGTATCCCTCTTGTAGCGCCATCGCTATCCATTATCATCGTTAATCATGATGCAACCGTATACTTCTGTGGTTGTTAAAGAGGCCTTAGAGCACTCCCTCAAAAGGGTATCTTGACTTCTCACCTGCTCACACCCTAAACATCAGCCATCTCCTCATCAACCCAATCTCTCCAACTCCTCCACTCGCCCCAGCCCAACCCCACCTTCTTCCCCTGGTACCTCACAACCCTCAACGAAACCTTGTTCCAATCCGCCTTCTTGCCATTCCATCCAGCCTTCCTCATTAGACTAACCAGCGCTTCTTCCTTGGTCCACCCTTGTTCGCTCGCAACATCAGGCAGATACGTACTCCCGTAGCGTCTACCCTTTTCGTGGAAACTGATCCGCAAGCCATGTTTGCCAATCTCCCAATCCATGGCATCGTCAACAGGCTCAAAATCTGTGAGGAGAGTGACAGCGCATTCGAGGGTTGGCAATTCGCGTGTGGTAATAGGCGAGAAACGCGTATCGTCGAATGCGGCCGTCAGCGCGTAGTCAGAGAGACCTTTGGTGAGTGGTTGTGCTTCAAAGGTCCCGATACAGCCCCGGAGTCGCTTGTCGCCAGAACGTGAGATTGTGTTCCACGTTACGAATAACGGATGCTCTTCCTCCTCCTCTTCCTCGCCTTCTTTGTCAGTCAAGTTTGTAGAACTGCTGCTCTGGCTTGTAAGACTGCTTGGTGTCTCGCTGCTCGGGCCACTGGGCGTCGAACTTGCGCTTTGCAGGCTTGAGGAGCTAGCTGACGAGGGAGGAGAGGCTAGGATACGCGATATAGCGGCGGGTTTGTATGAGCCATCTGCTGATACGGACGCGGACGCGGATGCAAGTGCGGCTTGTTCTGCTTGTTCTGCTTCGGTCTCATCTTCGAGCTCAGAGGTTGTGGTGGGTTCCGAGTTATATTTCGCCCAGAGGTGTTCGACTTGGGCTAGAGTGAGAGAAGGGCGCTTCTCGAGACTTGCGACAAGGCTTTCGAAACAATATGCGCAGTGCGCTTGTGTAGCCATGGTGGGGTGTTGGAAGGACCGACGCTGACGTTCGATGGGAGCGAGTAGGCGGGGGTTTGAAGGGCTGGCTGGACGCACGATCGGGGAGGACTAGATAGTGGAGAAAGAAGGATTAGAAATATAGCCTTTTACAACACAAGATAGGAAAGAAGTATGACGGCTGAATCCGGGGTGTAGGGCTGCTAGCTGATCGGGTCGGGTTGCGGCAGGGCTGTGCAGTAACGTCAGGAACCGGAACGTCTCGGCCGACTTGCCTCCGCGGAGAGATTCCAAGAGCGTGACGATTGTCTGTCGATATATGGCAGTTGTGCACGCTGTCGCACCAACTCCGGAGGGCCGACGTAGTTACCAGAGAGAGAGGGAGCAATGTGACGGAGGTGGTGAGGCGCCAGAGATAACCCCGCCGATCCGGCAAATGGTACCTTGGGAAGGCGTCATCATCTGAAATGAACAAAAGGAGATGCACAATCTGGAGAGTAAAATGTTATTCATTGCGATACAACTGAATGTATACTATTTTGCGAGATACTATCTGCACAAGCTCCCTAAGAGATGCACCGAAAGTCCCAAAACTCTGATTCAACAGTTGGTATGTAACCCCATCTTCATGCACACGTACCTTATGGGGTAAAAGGTCGTGTGTTTGGTAATGATGGGGATGATTGTTCTTGCCACGATAGATATTCCTTCAGCAGGTCGAGCATGGGAGAGCTCTGTTGCTGTACACACTAATGGCTGGGTTGAGGTTGGTGCCTCGTTGATCATGTCTCTCACTTACCTGAAGACGTTGCGAACGGTCAAACAGCCTAACACATCACTTGGACAGTCGCGCGCTGGTGGAACCGACCTGACTTTTCGACTTATTTCATTGCCACATTTCATGCCTGCGGTAGGCGTGAAGCCGCGTGCTCCAATCCCTTGAGTTCGAAGCTGTCATAGAAAGTCCGAATGCCATTGACGCCGACCAGATGTCTCATAAAGGAATCGAAAACCGCCATCGTCGCTCGCTCGTAATCGTATCGTCCTTTATGCCGCGTCGCGCTTGCCCTCCTTGACCTCCTTCTGTATGGTTGTTAGCGAGCCGCGTTTCCGTGTAGGAGTGAGCCGTCGGTACGCACCAAAGCGCGCATGGTGCCGTGAAGAGCATGCCTGTGGTTCCTCCTGAACTTGGGGTCGGTTCCCTTGAGCGAGGGGTAACGGTGGGTCTTGGGCTTCTTGATACTGCATTGCCATTGTATCAGCTTTTTGTTCTCAACAACGCATTCACGATCCTTCGCGTTGTAGATGGACTATCCGCGGATTCATGGCGCGTGCGATGGAGGAGGGTGATGCGTACCCGTTTCGGTGGTTCTTCTTGGACTGGTTGTGCTGGGACGAGTTCTTGGATTCTGCACAGTTGCATTAATATCTTGGCAGTAACAAGTGAGTTCTTGTAGACGTACTGGCCATGGCGACGGTTGTTGTTGTCGATTTGGCTTTGTGGTATTGTCGAAGAGCTGATGTCGGAACTGGTCGAATTTGCGCTCTGTCTGTGGTCACCAGTAAGCGAGTAGTTACTGGCGCTAGTGCGTCTTGGTGCATAATCCCTGGCCCTGGCTTTGCACATCTCGCGCCATCACCATCACCATCATCATCGCCACATCCAAGCTATGATCAACGCTTCCTACTAGTATCTACAAAGCGATTACACATATTTCATGGAGTGGTGGCCATAACACCACTCGCGCGGGCCTCGCGTTGTCGTCGCATCACCTTCGACTCCAGCGAGCACCACGGAAACGATGCCGTGACTAGCAGACACTCGCCTATCTCGTAAGGTGGTCTCATGAACAAGTCGGGTTCTTAAAAACCTATCAGGCTGTACAGGTATGTTCATGGATGTAGTGTTGACGTCTACGTTCTGTCTATCCAAATTGGCGTATGCCATCCATCTTCATCGCCTAGTGCCATCCTTGTTCGTAAATTCTTCGTCACTATCTTCTACCCAACCCATGGCATCCGGACATATCGTAGACCACATCTCGGAACACTGTGGAAGAGCTGTGTATTGCGAAAACACCCAGAGTGCAGTCCCGACATATCGCACCTGTCGTACGAAGAGGCTCAACTCTATCGAGTCGGTCCCCGACCATACTACACACTAAAGGTATGCAATACATTATGTGTTCTACTATGTTAGCGCAAAATACTGCGTATACTTCTAGAGTATACTAAAATGTAGGGTTGACATAAGTGCTGGGTCTATTCAATAAAAAGAGCTCCTTCATACGTGCTGTCTCAGCTGCGGCACTACTGTTTCCTTTGTCGCTTTGCCCTACCAACATTTCAAGTCATGCAAAGCTAGTCACCATTTTGACGTATCATGGCTTGTCCTTTGACGATCAGCGGAAAACGTGCGGCACTGTTCCATCACTTGGCTTGCTTCTTCCCCGCAAAGCGGAAGCGTAACCGTTCACCGGGTGTGCAAGTCGGCGAAAGGCGACCTCATCTGATTGGCTACAACCATCAAGTTTCGTCCACCCTTACTGATGTAAGAGGAATTGCATGCAGCTACAAAGCGCCTGTCACACAAGCATTACTACTATTTATCCTGCAACCCAAGTCTTAGCAAGCGCCGCGTCCTCTACCAAATCAACCATGGCGAATCCGGCTGAGAAACCATCGAGTTTGCCAGACAATAAGATCGAGATCATCAACGATACCCATGGAAATAACATAGACCCAATCGCTGAGAAGAAGCTACTTCTCAAGTGCGACCTTCGCGTTCTTCCGCCCCTCTTTGTCCTGTTCCTCTTAGCGTTTCTGGATCGTGTCAACATCGGTACAGTCATCCATTTCTAGTAGTGTGTTCACTGCACTAACGTGCCTAGGCAATGCGAAGATACAAGGACTAGTCGAAGACCTGGACATGACAGGACCGCTGGCTTATCGCTACAATATCGCTCTATTCATATTCTTCGTTCCTTACATCCTCTTCGAGGTGCCGTCAAACTTGATCTTGAAGAAGCTCAAGCCTTCAACATGGCTCAGCTTGATCATGGTACTCTGGGGTGAGTTCTGATTATCTTCGTATGTGTCCATACTAATGATAATCAGGCCTCTCAACCATCGGGATGGGACTCGTGAACAATTTTGAAGGCTTGGTAGCCATGCGCGTTCTGCTAGGCTTCTTTGAGGCAGGATTGTTTCCTGGTGTGTGATAGATTTACATTAGGATATGAGCTTCAAAACTAACCTTGCATAGGTTGTGTGTACCTCATCTCGATGTACTACAAGCGTTATGAGCTACAATGGCGCCTCACACTGTTCTTTACTGCAAGCATCATCGCTGGCGCCTTTGGAGGTGTAAGTATTCCCGCGTCACTTTGTGGCTCAGACTAACTTTCCCCAGCTCCTCGCATTTGCTATTGCTAAGATGGACGGCATTGCAGGTTATGGAGGATGGTAAGAACCCAAATCTACCAAATACATGCGGAACAGACACTAACTCTGCAAACCAACGATCTAGGCGGTGGATCTTCATTATAGAAGGTATCATCACAGTTGTGGCTGGTGTTGTTACAAAGTTCTGGGTCACAGACTGGCCAGAACAGGCAAAGTTCCTCAACGAGGAAGAGAGAGCCCTTCTCATAGCACGACTCAGTGCCGATACCGGTGATGCTGTGATGGATAGGCTGGACAAGAGAGCAGCGAAGAGGATATTCTCCGACCCTAAGATTTACCTGGGAACAGCTGCATACTTCGGTAAGGACCTTTGCTGTCCACTCTATCTACTTTTGCAGACATATGCTGACCATACACCCCCACGTGTAAGGAATCGTGAATACTGGCTATGCTGGGTCTTTCTTCACCCCAACAATCGTCAAAGAACTCGGCTACACCTCCGCCGCCGCCCAAGTACGGTCGATTCCTATCTTCGTGGTAGCAACTATCACTGCGGTCATCACGGCATGGCTGACCGATCGCCTCCGCCATCGCTACTGGTTCTGTATCTTCGGTCTCGTCGTCGCATCGATTGGGTACATCATGCTTCTTGCGCAAGACAACCTCTCAGCTGGCGTCAAGTACTTTGCCCTCTTTCTCATTGTACCGGGTGGTTACATCACTCAGCCTGTTGTGCTCGTTTGGATGTCCAACCTTGTATCTGGACACTACAAGCGATCCGTCAGTTCTGCGATGCAAGTTGGGTTCGGAAACCTAGGAGGCATCGTGGCGAGCAACATCTTTTTGCAGAGTGAAATGCCGACATATCCGACAGGATACGGAGTTAGCCTGGGTATGTTGTGGATTTGTGGTGCCGCTTGCACGGCACTTTTCTTCATGGTAAAGTGGGAAAATGCAAAGAGGGAGAGGGGTGAGCGGGATGGGAGGCTGCAGGAGGTAGATGCCGATAATTTGGGTGATGACCATCCAATGTTCAGGCTCACGTCTTGAATTAAGGATGCGCGAGTTCAAGTCACTTCTATCAGCGATACACCCATCAGGTTTGTATTGAACAGAGTGAGCAGAGTGATGAAAATGGCGTCCAGCGAGCATGTGTTCGGCGTCCTGTATGAGTACTCTGATTCGCGTGATGCAGATGTCATTCCTATAGTATCTGCCAGTCTTTGTCGGTGTCCATAGGACTCATCGCGGCGTCGGTCCAATCATCTTCAGATTCATGCCCAAGTTCGGTATCGGATTTGTCGACCTGAGAGGAAGGAGACGCCTCGTGAAACTCATCATCACTCGTTGACTTATCTCCTGCCGTGCCAAGCTCTTTATGTAGAGCATTATGAGCATCGTCTTGTTTACCCAAATTGTCTTCTTGAGTCTTATCGTCTTGAATTTCCTCAATGAACGTCTCTGACCGTGTTCTGTGCGGTACCGCACTCATATCTTCCAAGAACATCCTAGAATCATTGTATTCTCTAGTCTCTTCATTCCACCGGTTGCATCGAACGGCAATAGTGACATCTTCTCTGTGTAGAAGGACACTGAATTCGCTCGCCGCACTGTAAAGTTTCATCTCATCATCCCAGATGTTGAGGTGCAACATCTTGAATCCTGGCAAGTGTTGCAAGATGTATCCGCTTAGCTCCGAGTATGCTCTCCTAGTCGCAGCGTCGGAAGCGTCTTCTTCGTAGGGCTGGACTAGAAGGGATAGACATGAGACATGTTGGCGGGCTGATACGCTGATGCTCTCCAACCACTTGTGTGTAGCATATGCCTGGTACCGTCCCCGCGGGCAAGGGCCTGTTAGGAAAAGGAAGTTCCGACTTCCATACGCTATCGGCTCCGCATCTTCGTAAATCTCATCCCGTCGGTCCTTCTCCTCTTTTGTCGCAGGCCTTAGCATATTGATTGGCCCATGAGGGGCTTGTAATACCCATAGCCCTTCATCTCCTGTTTTGAAGCGGAGCTCGGGGCCTGCACAACTATAGCGGGTGTAGATGTGACCTGGCTCGTTTTCGTCTTGCGAAAGGAGATTGTATCTTGGACAACGGCAAATATCGATCTGGGTGTGTCCGACGAAAGTGGTGTTACTGGGATTCTCAAGATAAGGCCAATCCAGAGTGTAGTTGAACGTCGTTACATCATCTGGTGTTGAGGGATGTGGCATTGATTGGATTGGGCTTTGGTACATAGCATCGGCTTGAGGAAAGGCTCCTGATCTCAGATGCGTGGTGATTGGATACTACAAGTTCCGACTGAACTTAAGACTCCCTTACTGCAACACGATGTTGCCGCCCAAGTCAAAAGAAGGGAAGCAAGGGAGGTGGTGGTTGAATTCGGTTCACTTCCTTACTTTTTCGTCAAATCGCCCAAACACGAGGCTGTTAATAGGTCATTATGCATACCGCTATTCTCACTACGCCGGAAATACCAAGCACGCTATAGGAGAGTCTGGCTAAGAATAGACGAACGCGTTGACACAGCTGAGTACGAGACGGCGATAGGAAACCAAAGACAAGCGTGGGGTAGGTCAGCGATGGTGGTGGTGGTGGTGTTGTCGGTGAAGTACATCAGAGCTCAGAAATGGGCATGGCGGGTGAGACGTGCATATAGGAGCTATTTGTGGGGTCCGGTGAACAACAAGCACATGTATGAGGTGACGGCCTGGCACGGATAGTGCACTTCCGCGCATTTTGTTTATGCAGAGGTGTCTCTAGAGGCGAAATGGTAGTCAGACAACCCTCTAGTCGACCATCCGGTGTCGATGACAGCGCAGCAACGTCATTGGTCCATGCGTGATGGATCACCTGGGTAAGCGTCACGATCACCGAGCTTCGCGACATGCACGCCTCTGTTGACGCGCCATGTCATAACAAACAACAATCCGCTGTGTGGATGACCCTCGCCCGCTGTCTTGATGGCCGAGACTGGGAACGCTGAGCCCCAGACGCCGATCTCTGAGGGGCCCAGCTCGCCCACGACGCCGACGCAGAAGAGCAGCAATGGTTCGGCCAAGTCGATGACAGGGGAGCCGATTGAGCAGCAGGACTTTGCCAATCCGACGCTCAGTATAATACAAAGCTTTTCGCGCAGCACCTCTACAGGCTCGCTGGCGTCAAAAGAAGAAGCCCCGCCGCCGCTGCCACCACGACCCGGACTCGGTCTGCTTTCACGACCCTCGACGTCGCACTCTACAGCGCCCGGAAGACCACAGCTCCTTTCCAAAGCCACCACACAGCTGTCCGTGGCGAGGACACAGGCATTTGCCACAGACGCCAAAGATGAGTCGCCAACGTCTTCTGGGCCCAAGCCGCGCGACGTCCTGGGCGCAAACCTAGGCTCTCATAACCTCAGCGACGCCGACGACAGCGCGAGCATACGCAGCTATGCGCCAACGATAGAGGCAGCAGGGTACCAGGAGAGCATACTGGGCGAAGTCATGGGCCAGGTTGAAAAGTCGGAGCAAGAGAAGTCGCTGCTCAGGACATTGGGTCACAAATTCGTCGATGCCGAAGCGCAGAGCATGTTTCCCCCAGATCCGTATTTCGAGGCAGCTTTCCATCGCGAGTTTGACGACGTCGACGACATGGCTATGGACGGATCGAACGAAGGTCAGACGCATGGCATGTACCTAGACGTAGCTCTTACTGATGTAGTCAATAGAAGCCGTGATGCACCAGTGGCGCGCAAAGCTGAAGCATTTCCTCATCCTCTCGAGTGCCGGCAAACCTATATATAGCCGACACGGCGACGACCAGCTCATCACAAACTACATCGGCGTCGTACAGACCATCATATCCTTCTACCAATCCACCAACGATACATTGAGAGGTTTCACAGCGGGACATGTACGCTTCGTCGTCATGTCAAAGGGCCCGCTCAACCTGGTCGCCATCACACGGCTTCCAGAGAGCGACTCTCAGCTTCGGTCGCAGCTGGAAGCACTCTACATGCAGATCCTATCCACCCTTACCCTTCCTAGTATGGAGCGCATGTTTGCTGCACGCGCCAATTACGATCTCCGTAGACCGCTGCAGGGCACGGAGACGCTACTATCAGCGCTTGCAGATGGCTTCACAAGAGGCTCACCATCGACATTGCTCTCCGCTCTCGAGTGTCTCAAGCTTCGCAAATCCCACCGCACCACCATCAACAACACCCTCTTGAAAACCCGCTCCGACAACCTGCTCTACGGTCTCTTGGTAGCATCCGGAAAGCTCGTGTCCGTTGTCCGACCCAAGAAACATAGTCTACACCCCGGCGACCTCCACCTGATCTTCAACATGCTCTTCGAAGCTGGCAGCGTCAAGGCTGGGGGTGGAGAAAACTGGATCCCACTATGCTTACCAGGCTTCAACAACACCGGTTACTTGTACATGTACGTCAGCTTCCTCAACCTAGAACACCCAACGGAGCAGATGCAAGAGCGACCTCGCACGAGCGACGGCGCGGACGATGAGGTCGCGGTCCTCCTGATTAGTGCGGAGAAGGAAAGCTTCTTCGAGCTTAGACGTATGAGGGATGATTTAGTCGAGGTAGGCTCACCCGGTTTCCTTACACTCCTTTACAAAGTCTCCTTAATGTCCAGGATACCGGGATGGTACATCAGGACGCGTGGATCGTTGGTCAAGTGGTCTCTCCGTGCCGTCCCACGACGTTGTCCCGTGCCTTGAGATTATGCCATCGAACCATGTGGGCTCGCACGGAATCGGAGGGTAAATTCCCTCATTTTTTCGGCCTTCTCTCATGGGTTCTCATGGGATTATTCCCGTATACCGTATTGTACATCTGCCGTACAAGGCTCACGGGCCACCGTTGCCATTCGGCTTCGGACGTCAGCAGCTCCGATGCTCCTTGTCGTACCTCCGCCTCGGGTTCCGTGTCTCCCCTACCTTTCGCCCCGTTCTCACATCCCCTCGGCCTTTCGGCCGTACCGCTCGTCTGGTTCGTGTTCGACTAGGATTACCTGAGAGTAGAGAGGTGCACGGAGAATCGCACTAGTTAGATGTATTTTTTGGCTAACGGGTATTTCCGCAGAACTTGCAGCGCAATGGATCCATTGAGGCTATACGTACAGCGGTCCAGCAAGGGCGTCCCACTTGCACGGATATCGTGCCCGGGAGTCCGTTGAGACACTTTCTGTACAAGTCAAGGGGTAACGTGCAGTTTACCATGCCGAGTTACACACCGTATTTTGAAGATGACTTGGAAAGGAGACGGTATGTGGCTCTTTGCATCCATGATCTTACCATTCTTTTCCTCTGGCACTGTCCCGCTTTGCATGATTCGTTTTCGTCATGTACTATTACCAAGACGCCTTGCTAATACTCATCTTCTGTCTAGATTGATCAACCTCTACAGCAAACTCCATAGTAACGTGCACAACAAGCCATCAACGCTCAAGGTGCATCATGAGACGAACACGACGTGTATAGCGTTGGCGTGGAGTACACCGCTGTTTGAACTATATGCTGTTGCACCGGCCAATACATCGAGGGCTGCGCTGGCGCAGAGTGCGAATAAAGTCATTCAGTGGGTGCGACGAGAAGAAGAAAGGGTATTCATTATAGGAGGCGCTGTGTTCTGATAGATCATCCATGCAAGGTAAGAAGAACCACGGCGCTATAATACCCATCAATGCAGAAAATCATAAGAGTATGTGTAATACACATTGTATCATTCTTCTTATCTTACCTGTGGTTCGAACAACCATCTTAGCTAAGCTTTTGGCAAGACACCGGCTCCCTTCATTTGCTCAAACACATCTTTCAAACTCGCCCACGTATCCCTATACCCTGTCCAACCGCACTCCCTCGCCTTACTCATACTAATCACCAGATCGAAACTGCGTCCCAACACGAAGCCCAGGAAAGCCCAAGTCGCTTTGTCGAAGATTTCCTTATCCAGGCCTTTGCGCTCGGCAAAGCTTTCCCACGCACTCTTGACATCAGTACGTTGCGACCACTTGACCAGATCAATTTGCTGCTCCACAACACTCTTCTGCAGTACCGGCGTTCCCTGAATGCCAATCTCGTTTGCTACCACACTAATGGGAGGTTCAGGCGCCATATCCATGGTACTCCACATGTCCCCATCGCTACTATGTGCACCCTCGAACTGATTGCGTTTGACGCTGCCACCAAAATACTCGACGACTTTAGGCCAAAGGTTCTGCCAGCTCTCCATATCACCGTTGACGACGTTGAAAGCCTGGTTTGCAGCGCGTGGCTCGAGAGCGGCCCAGTTACAGAACTCAGCATGGAGTTTGGATGATGTGAAGGAATCGAATTTTGTGTAAAATGCAGGGGAACCGGGGAAAGTAAGGCCATCATTACCGGAGAGTTCCTTGGATACGAGGGCGTAGAGAGCGATGGCAGTGGAAAGATTCATAAAGTTTCCCATTGCAAATCCAATGACGTCGTTGGGATAAGTCGCAACCCATTCTTTGGAATGTTTCTTGCAGAAGTCGTGCAGGATATTTTGCTGGTTATAGTAGAAGTTTGGGGGCCACTTGGATGTATCAGTGAGCCAGGGAGCATCCTCTGTCATGGGCTGTTTAGGCATTCCCAAGTGGACACCGTATTGCTTTGCGCCACATACTAGAATGATTCGCTTGACATCTGAGATTGCCCCCGTCTTTTCAAGGGCGGACAGGAAGTTGGACAGCATGCGGCCGTTGACTTCCCAAGCGTCGTCTTCCTTGTCTTGGGCCAGGTAGGCGGCAAAGAAGATGTACTCTCCGCGTACACTTTTGAGGTCATTGGCCATGTCATCAGGAGAGGACTGTAGGTCAATGTGATTGTGGATGACGTTGTCGGAATAGTCTTCCTTCTTACTGCGGGAAAGGGCATGAATGGTCGGCCATTGTTGGCGGTGTTGGCTGAGTTCTGAGACAATCTCACGGCCCAGGATGCCTGGGTTCGTCAATTCAGGAATGGATGAAGCGAGAGTGATAAGTACCAGTGGCACCGGTTACTATTGCAGAGGGCATTTTGCAGCGTGGTTGTTGTATGTTTTGGTTGTTGTCTAGGTTGAGGTACTGCTATAAGAGGGTGACTGTGACCATGCATGACGTAAGGATGCTTTCATGAAGGTATGTCACAACCCAACCTCATGGATAAGCGTCCACTTGGTGAGGTAGTAGATCTGAAATGGTGATGCGTCTCCGGCTAGTCCATCCAAAGACTTGCATCGATGCGGTAATGTGTCAGTCACAAAAGTGTACTGTAATCGCGTGATCCATTCATCATGGAGGGTGCTCGGTGGATGCTTGATAGATAATTTGCAGCTACTCGAGTCGGCTGAGGATATTTGTATTGTAGAGAAAGCGCTACGAAGTTTGATTGGCGTCGTCGGATTAGAGTATATGACAGTAGCAGAATACCATGATCAACGCAGGACTACATGAACCCACGAACTCAATATTCACACATTCAGTGCATCAACCCCCAAATGGATGTTGTTTCCTTTTGCCGTGTGTTTCAGTACAGCCAGCAGTTCTCTTGTCGGGCTAGAACAAAGTGAACCCAATACGACCTAGCAGGAAATGTAGTGAATGAAGAGCACTGCATGCTCAGCCCACCCAGACATCACATGGATTTGCGTGTCTGGCAGACGTGTTTTCCAGCCTTCTAGTGTCCTTGTTCCTCGAAGACGCCCCATCGTTTACATGTTTCGTGGGTGGCGCTTGCCGCAGAACGTTTGACCGTTGTGTTCCGATATCATGCCATGACAGCTGCCACGTGGCGCGGGTGTGCAACGTAACCGTTATGCGTTTCGTATGTGTGGATGAAATGAGTGGAGGGGGCGACGTGAACCGAAGGCGCTTTCACTTGGGCGGACGCTTTTGCCATGTGAGCTCCCGGAATTGATTCTTGACCTCATCCTTGAAGTGATCAAGCGATGATGGGCCCGTCCCTACAGTGTGTTAGCAGCCGCAGTTTTGATCAGACGGGATAGAGACATACGGCCTTGGCCATTCTTCTGCTCAAAGTCTGGCAGCCTGTTGATCTTTCGATAGGCCTTTTGCACGGCGCGATTAAATCCCGGGGATCGGATGAGCTTGGAAGAGTCAGCAACTGGAGCGGTGTGTGGCAGCAAAGGGATTATCGACGTGCCTTTGCGACGGCCCAAGCCTGTTCCGAGCTGTCAGTTTGATATGTCTGTTTCGTTTGGACATGGCACATACCTCGAAGAGAGCAAACCAAGGTGCAACCATGGCGTATTCAATGTGGCATTCACAGGTGGCAGTAGCTGCTACGGCAAAGTAGCAGGTGTACGCAGGCGTTGCGTTTGTTGGCCGAGGGAGGATGGTGGCGACGGCGTGCGGGTGTGGTGGGTGTGGTGGACGCAGGGCGCGGAAACAACCAGATGGACAGGGAATGGGCCTGCCAGCAATTGTGACACGACGACGGCGCCTGACGTTTGCAAGTGGATCCCCACTCCAGCAATTGTTTCCTCTGCTGTGCTACAAAGTGCTGCGCTCCAGACATGACATGCATATCACCTGGCCCACGGCTACATTTTTCCATCCGTCGCTGACACCCCCGCCAGCTGCTCCACTACGAGGCTCGCCTGCAGCCCCTCGTCGTCTAGACCATCTTTCGCTCGACCTGGTTCTTGGACACTACACTACTACCATCGCAGCAGACATCGACCTAGGGAGGCCCCGGACCCCCACGAGTAGTCGCACACGTGTCAGTGGAGGCATAACATCTGCCGCACTCCACTCTCCAGCCTATCTTTCCTTTCTTGGGCGCGCCACGACCTGCACCTAACCGTCTCCCGTCACCATTCCGTCTTCAAACTTTCCTGTCCCTCCATTGCCAGAACCCGAATCATCCCACCACAGCACCGCAAACTTCTTCAAACTGCATAAACTCCGCGCCCTCCGGCGCAAGGCGAAGCTCAAGGGCGTCCTCATCAGGACCGACCCAGCCATGGCCACGGCCGGCGTTCCCATTTCCCCCTCGTCGTCCAAGCGCTCCCGTAGCAAGGACAGCACGCGATCAGTCACCACCTCGTCCCTCAACACGCCCGCCGCCAACACGCCCTCTGCAAGCACCAGCAGTCTCGTCATCAACTCGTCCGTCACAAGCACCCCAGCCACAGGCCATGCACATGGCCACGATGCTGTCCCGTATCCCGCCTTCCTGACGTCGCCCAAGGACATTCACACCAAATGGAATCGCTTGGAGATGGCCCAGGTCGAGCGCCTGAGGGACAGCACCCAGGCCGGCGCTTCGGAAGAGGCTCCCAAGTGGGCGAGGTGCTTCGGCGAGGATTATGCCAACCGTAATCGCTACATCAACGTTGACCCATACCAATCCAACAGAGTCCACCTTGAGGTACCAGACGGCCATTTCGACTACATCAATGCCTCGCCCATAGTGCTCGAGACGACAAAGTCTGCGACGGAGCTCAAGTACATTGCAACACAAGGACCCAAAGCAGACAGCTGGTCGCACATCTGGCGCATGATCTGGAAGGAGAACCATTCGCCCGCAGTCATTGTAATGCTGACCCAGACCCACGAGGCGAACCGAGAGAAATGCTACCCCTACTACCCGCAATCCTTGTCGAATCCAGATATGCGCATCAACGAGCACGACGAGTTTCAAGACGGCTTCATACACAATCTCCACCTAGCCTCGTACACGACAGACGAAGAGGCTAGGACACAAGTAAGGGAAATCGACATGACAACAGATGATGGCAGTGAGTCGAAAAAAATCTGGCATCTGCTCTTTGCTGGCTGGCCTGATTTCTCCGTGCCTGAAGGCGACGATCGCGCTGGTATGCTGAAGCTAGTGGATATATCGCGGTCCAAGAACACGGACAATTCGACCAACCCACGAATCGTTCACTGCAGTGCAGGTATCGGCCGCAGCGGAACCTTTATCGCGCTTGATTGGCTCATGCAGGAGCTCCAAGAGGGCGCACTGGACGATGTACCTGACGACGAAGATCCTATATTAAAGGTTGTCGAGATGCTCAGAGACCAGCGAGCTGGCATGGTTCAGTCCAAGGTTCAGTTTCTCTTCATCTACGATGTCCTCCGTGAGCAATGGTGTGAACGGTGGATCTCTCAGCATCCGGACGAAGCAAACCGACTCGGTCTCGCCACTGCAGCAGCTCCTTCTGACGGTGTAGAAATTACTTCTGACAATGAGCAACCTGCACTCAAGCGCCAGAAATCGATACACAATAGCGAAGCCGCCGAGAGCCTCCAGCTCCCACTACTAGCATCACGACCGTCGAGTTCACGGGGCGCTTCGAGTTCACCAGCGCCAGACGCACGCGCACAGTTAGAGGCTGAACTTCAGGAGGCCGACCTGGAGTACGAGAAGGGCAAGACTTAGTGGTTTTTACCAAGAGCTCGTCGGACGCACATCAAGGTGTCATCATGGATTTCATCTCCAGTCGTCCATTCATATCATACCTTCGATATTGTCCCGCCTTCTGATCCTGGCACTCCGCCTATGATCGTGGTTACTGGCGTGGACAGCGATATTGAGCAGCAGGACGGTGCTGTCGATCTTGAAGCAAACGATCAACCCCCTGCTTACAGTCGCGCACCCCCTGAAATCACCTTGCTAGATTCACGTCCTGTTTTCGCGTACATACGCGGCCCTCAACATATCGTTTTGTTGACAATGGGTGTTATTTCGGTCTTGGTTGTTGGCTTTATGTTTGTGTACTGGGATACTCTAGATAGAGTTTAATTGTGTGTGTTTTTTTATGTAGGGAAGCGGGAAGCATAGCGTTGCGGAATACCCCTTGAATTGGGTCGGTTTGGTTTCGGTCACTGCGGCGGTAAGCAAAGCGAAAGCAATTTAGCCTACATTTCGCCTTCATTATGGGTAATTTCAAACTCCCATTGTCCGCTGTCTTTTTGGTCTCTGTATTCGTCTTAGGTTAGTGATGCTGTTCTTATCCGCCTGCTGCTTAGCACTACTAACAAGTTCACGTTTTCTCATATACCTCAATCCAAAGAACACCCTAAAGATATTCGTTAGAACTACAGATGAGAGACCTGAATAACATAGACATTGGTATGCCCTAGAGTATGTTTTGGATACTCCGTGTCGAACGGGGTAACTACGTATACCTGTCTTCTTACGAAACACAACTACGGTCAAACATTAGGGCTTACTTGCTCGACTGCCTCCCAACGTCGCTCCGCTCCCGTAAATCTAGACTCCCGGACAAAGATCTACCATGTTTAGTCAACAGGATTGCCCAAGAAATGCTGATGTATTGTAAAGCATGCACATGTACCCGGTACAGTATCCACATTACCCCGGATTACTATCTCGCATTCCCACTCCGATGTCTTCTTAGTAAGGACCACGGAATAGTTCCGTGTCGGACTCCCCGTTGCTTGCTCAGCTTCATGACTCATGCTGGCTCGCAGGTAGATGAGCTGCTTTGTGGAACAACCTGCTCATTGAATATACTTACGTCCGTCCGCTTTCTACACAGAACAATCCTTGTCGTAAAGGCAGTCGCTGGACTGCACATCCATATACGGAACGACAAGACACTGCGAGTAGCGTTAGAGTGCGCCGTGGCGTTGGCCTAGATGAGAAATGGACCTTGGTGTTCAAGATGTGGATCTCTTCAGCTCGAGTCGCCTCAAGTAGCTGATACACACCACTCCAATCAACCTTACATACTAACCGACTGGCTAGCTCACCAGCTGCCCATTCGTCTACCTATCTACGCGCCCTACTACTAAGCAGCCACAAGATTGCTGTTTCGCACCTCCAGCCATGTCATCAATTCCATACAGCCATCTCACCTCCCAAAAAAACTAGCAGTCAGGACGTGTCATCTTGCTCTCCAGTGGAGCGACTTGGCAAAAGATGATGGCCTCGACTTGGATTCAGGTTGCTGCCTGTCTCGCTTATCGTGAGTTGTTCATGGCTGATTGGTTCGCGGTGTTTCTTGCGGGAAGTGCACGATCGGTGTGGGGAGCGGGCGCATGTAAGCTTACTTGCGCGGGGTTTTCAAGCGTTTCTGGGTCTGAGCATGTACTGCATGTTGTTCGATATGATATCGTTGATTTGAAGGCTATGCTTTGCTCGAATATGCTGTCGTCTTGATTCTCATGCCTGTGGGCATGATGATGTGCTAGTGCCGAGCTAAGATGAAGTGTTAAGAAATACATAAATCTCTATTGCTGCTCCGTACTTCTCGATTCAGGTATGCAGAATTCTTGGGCACTCTATGTCCTATCATCGTATCGTTTCCAATACACGGATGCACATATGATGCACGTCTTGCGAATAGTGCCCAGTTTCGCCGCTCTATCTGATTCACATCTTACCTCAGCGTTTGCACATTGAAAAACATAGTTTTGACTGCATGCCTTTTGAACCCAGGCTCCCAGTGCGAAGTGGAGCTTTACTGCTGAGGCGGGATTTTAGTCTAGGTAATCGTCGGGGATAAGTTCCCGTAGTGGCGAGCTTAGAAATGGGGGTTGTGACGTTATCTTGACTCTAGGGGTAAGAATCATTTTCACTACCTAGTCGCACATCGTCAAGCGGCAGTCGTTGGAGGAAAGATCTGCCACAGGCTAGATGAACGTCGTAATATTTTGCGTTATTCGAGAGCGGTGTCAAAGCCGCGAAGTAAGGGCTGATTGATAATCGTAAAGAGGCGATACTTGAGCACGTGGTGCGTGGTAGTGGCTAGAGATCGAGAGTCTCGAGACGTTTTGTAGAGGTCGATGAGATGACGTCCCGAAAGACGCGACATAAGGCCGATACTCATCGGACTACGTTGGTGATCGACAGATTGACACGACATTTGAGTTAGCCAGGGGGACCGTATCACAGGCTGTGTTCCTTGAATACAGACATTAAGATTCAGCCGCATCTGTATATCGATGTTCTGTGATAGCCGTTTTACAACACTAACAGTTGCTGATTCGTTGTGGCCACCAAATCCGGGTTGAAGTTTGGACCGCTGCGGCGGGGCATCTCCTCCTTCGCTTCGCATGAATACTCACCAAGAACGAACATGGGTCCAAATGGGGCAATATAACCTTGTCATCATTGCCCAAAAGCTCCAGGTGCGCTTATAGCCGACCCCGTTTCGGCCTGTCTTGAACACACGGTGACGTTACTGAAAATCCTGCTTGTGCAGAACTTCCACCTGCAGCATGCCGTTTATGTCACGAAGACATTGTAATGGTCACAGATGATAAGGTGCAAGCGAAAGCTGTGTACTGCCGCTGAGAAGTCTAAGCAAGGTTGTTCAGCCGTTCTTGGTGGCCTTCTTTGCGCAGATGTTGAAGGCTGTAGCTGGGGTGCCACATGGGTGCTGATCAGCTGCATGTAAAGCCGTCGCACAAGTACCGTTCGATACGGATGTCTCTTGGGTATTCAAAGTGGTGCGGTACGAGTGGCTCGTCGCCGTTCTGTTTACCGCACGCTCGCGATAACGAAGGTGGCGTATTGCGCACACTGAGAATCTGCTGCAATGGGAGAGACCTAGTGGTGGGTTACGATACGCATCGATCAGGCTGTTACCAGCAGCAAGGTAGTGGGGGTCGCATCCCATCCTAATATGAAGACGCACGTGTCGCATGTGAAGCTTCTTCCCCCACACGCTGCCAACTAATATCTCTTTCTGACCAGGCAGTCTGGAGTACAGGTATTGGTGATTGTAAGTATGCAATAGCACCAACGACACCATGCATTGACACCAGTGGCCTTTCCAGTATAAAATTGTTTCTAGACAAGTTGTGGTCCATAAATGAGCAAAGATTTTGTGCGGACGGGCGGGCATCCAGAGGTATTTCGAAGCAAACAGGTACGGGCGTATGGACGCCAATTGCCCCGTTCCGCACGTCGATCTCGGACAGTCATCTTCGTCCAAGAAATCAGAGTGTCGGAAGGGCCGAATACTCGTGTGCGACAAGCCGAAACTAAGTTATTTCGAACAACGTTCGTACGATCGCTGACTTTGTCATCGAAGGAATGCTCCATTCTTGGACCCGCTGGTCGTCAAGATCGTGACTGATTGTTGACCTACCGTGGCAGGTTTGCCGTGTTCTCTCACAGAGAGACTTTGTGCTAGTCGGACTGACAAGAAAGGAAGGGCGATGGCGTATGTGAAAGCGCTGTACAACAACGTCATAATTGAAGCTCAGAACTGAACGCAGGTGGCTGACACAAAGACGCGCACTCATGAAACGAGTCTCGACCATCGCGATCATGGTCCAAGTGGGGATGCTGTTCGCTCTCGGCGAAACCAGTGAGCTGGCGCTTGGAGCTGGGGTTCCCCATCCAGTTGTGGATATGCTGTAAACGGGTCGATCATGATCACCAGGTCCTTCGCGGTCGCGTTACGGATATTACCGACAAGTAATTCCTGCAGTTATTCGTGATGCTGTCACATGGATGATGCATGCTACAAAAGTCGGTATGTTGATGCCGTCAAGTGCGATGAGACGCGTTGTGCTATGCAGAGGGTCTGAGCATTATCTGAAGATAGGAGGTTCCTCCAGAGCCCGACTTGCGGCCGAAGGAGTTATCAACATGGCTTCAGTTTTGTCGTTGGTGGTGTACGGCTTTCGCGTCGACTTTCCTCTCCAGGCTCATTCCAGGGCCGCAGCGCGATGTTCTTAGTAAACTTCCCTTGTTCGAGACCTCAACAACGTGGCTTTCGTGCACTTGGAATGCGCTGTGACGTGGGTGGATATGCCGCAGGGCTAAGTATTGAAGCTTTCAGCCTTAAATTGTGTGATGGGGCCTAAGTGGGAACGCTTTGGTGATTCGCCTCATTGCTATTCCTGTCTATGAGGCTCAACTCGACCTTGGCTGGTCTAAACAGAACGATTGGCAAATTTTCGCCAGCCAGGATGCACCGCAATAATCGGCTTATTACTGACTTCGGAAGAAAACCCACAGCGAGCCAGCCATCTGAGCGAAAATGGTTTCCCTAGTTCGTTGACATCATTTCACGTTGGATGGTAAGAGCGAAAACAACCAAACCAGCGCTGAAGTCGGGAAGAGCCTTCCAGACCAGGCTCGGACATCGCGTTCACGACAACCGTGTGGCTCGGCTTCGGATTTTCGAGACGGAGGCTGGACGGCCCATTGCCGAGCATGAAAACAGGTGCCGAGTATTTTCGTCCCTGGCGGAAGATGAACACAACCGATCAAGCCTTGGCGCCAGACTGCTCCTCAGTACAGTGTACACGTCGCCTTGAGGCTTGGGAAATCGAACTGTCCAGGATGCGCCCAAATGAGCGATAGAGTGTCCAGATATTCCAAGCTGGGATCTCGAATTGAGATGAGACCCTATACATCGTCGGGGCCCGAATGGATCCCGTGACCATCGATTTTCACGTTTGGGAAACAACTTGTGGAGATCATGAGGCGGAGTTCAGGACTGACCTAAACGACACCTGGGCGGAAGTCTTGGTTATCCGACGCTGGAGCATGCCCAGCAATCTAACTCCGCGAATTAGTGTAGAGGAAGGTTACCACTAACACCCCTTCGCCCAGTAATTACACGATGGAGACGGATCAATGTGCGTACGTGAGAAGGCTATTCCGTCGCGACTCCATTGGCACCTCGGCAGCCGGCATGTCTACGATCCGTCCACCTTTGCCTCAGGGCGCTTTGTGGCGCCTGTGGCTAATGGCTCGCCTGTCGCGTATGGGCAAAAGCGAATACGCATGTGCCTCTTGGCTTCTTGTGGCACGATCGCCTGATCGTCTTGACACTTCGAAACGTGCGGTGAACAGCCTCAACATCGACTCCATCTATATGGAACATGCATAGATCAGCGATGTATTCGATGTCTTACGATTGGCAATGCCCTGTTTGTTGGCAGTGCAGGTGCTACCGTCGGGCTTGTTTCTGGAGTAATGCCGCCTGATGGGACGCGGCCTCGAAAATGACAACGGGTCAACGATGTCTCTAATGCGACAACCCCTGTTGTGACCAAGCTTCGTGGAGCATATTCATCCACTTATGTAAGCCAGAAGGGTTGTCGATCTTGCCAATCATGTTGGGCAGAGTACTGATGGTTTCACGGGAGCAGCTGCATTCATGCAAGGCCCATGTCAGCGCAGGCAGACTCCTGACACTACCATGATAACGCAGCAAGGCTTTGTAGGGAGAGGTAGAGATTTGCATCGCGATTCCCATAACAGCGATGAAACTCTACTGAGCTATGGTTGGGCAGGGCGAACGTTCTTCGCCCAACGTGACAAGGAAGACCGCTGTTACTCGTCTCTAAGAGGAGGCTACAAACCTGCTAGACTTTGGATACAAACACTTTTTGTTTTGGAAACAAGAAGGGACTGGCGCCTGACCATTCGTGGTTGATGGTTTCTACAGCTTCAAGAAGCTTGGTAACTACGTTGGAATGAAGGCCTAATGACAGCGGGGTTGATCGTCAAGAACCCTGAGGTGTTCGAGAACCGCCGAATTTACAAACGAGTTTATGGGCTTACATGATCGCTCTTACCAACTCCGCACTGGTCAGTTCGTAAGCCATCCAAGAATGCGAGATAACTCGCCGAGCCCGCTCTGTACTTCAGTAGACAGGAGACATGCCGTTACCGCTAACGAGCTATGAGCTCCGGGAGGACAGCCGATATGCTGAAGCCTATATCAGCGGTCTGCATCACCGCAATGGTGAGGTCGCGAAGAACCGCCTAAAGTGATTGTGAACAATGTGTCGCATCCATTCCCCGCTTGGACTGCAGGCGCTGACATTCATTACACGTGAAATGTATCTGCGTATATGAGCCACGTCCTGCCAAGACATGGCAGGCCTTGTCAGCGAAGGTGTCGTATAGACGCATTGAGCCTGATGGATACGGCATTCGCAAGAATGTACGAAAGTAACGATCCTCAGCCCCCTTGCCTGACGACGCTTTGTGCGGGTCGCCCAACACCAAATCTCTCGGACCAAGAAGATGTGTGCCTTGCCAATGATGTATTCAACGATTTAGGAAGCTTAATAGCAAACAACTCCTGAACTTGCAATTGAGTGTAGATGAGTATGGATGAGTGAACAATCGGGCGGTTAATGTTTGCGGTGGCTCGATCATGGGTGATCATGTATAACCGAGACTACCTAGTCGGGACACGCAGAAGACAATGCGACTGCCAGTAAAGCCCACACATAGTAGCGACTCTCAAAGGGCAATGTTGGCCAAAGCTAGTTTCACATTGGACCATACTGAAGTCTGTGGCTGGGGCAGAGTCATATGCAGAATGCTGTCAGCAACTCCAGACGATGCAGTCTGCTGAATGTAGTGCGCTTACAATGACAAGCGACGGTAACCATAAACAGTATACAGCTGCTGGAGATTTATTTCGTTCCCAACAGTATTTCTCCCTGCTCAACGACACGCAGACGGGATGTTGCGTGAGTCTTCACATGAAATTTCCGCATATTCGCTCAGCTTATCTCGCTCCAGTCCCCTTTCAGATCGGACGGGTCACTTGAAGACGGACGGGTCCTCTGAAGTTGCCGCGAGCCGTTTCTAACGTCCGAGAGAGCGAATTTTCAGCCAGGAGAAAGATCGCTCGGCTGTCAAATCAGTCAGCCAGTCATGCCTCTCTTCGGCCGAAGCTTGAGCGTGTACAAAGTACACCGGGTAGTTGCCAGAACCACGGTCAAAATAACGTTATTAGTGATAAAGCATAATGATGACAGGTGGACTGACGGTCAACCTTGCAACTGATGAAGCACATGGTCAACGTTGATGACGAGCTCGGCAAAAAGCCCAATGGCTGGGGATTCGCGCCTTTCTGGAGATTCGGGAAGCGCGTTTTGTCCGCACGTTTTTGGTCGTGGATGTCATGTTGCCGGTAGCCGAGTACTGCGATGCGATCCAGAGAGATTTTCGAGCGTACTTACGCCCGCGTATTCGCCGAATTCACGTCACCTGTTCTGCTACCACAGGGCGGATTTTTCTCCATAGCAAGTTTCGTGGGCCACGGTCACGGTCCGCTCGTTGGCCGACTCCGCGCTCTCGCTTTCTCGAGTCCTCCGCCAAATGAGCCCAGTCCTTGAATGGTTGGCGCCCTGCAAGAGGCCAAGCATCCCTGCACATCGACTAATGTAATCCAACGTACGTGCGCCGATTGATGATGTGTAAGAAGACAGGGGTGCTTAGCTGCCCAGGGTCGGCGGATTTCATAATTACAGTTTCATTACTGAGCTTTTGCACCTAAGGGCACAAGGTTAACGCCGAACGTCCGCCTTGACTATCCTCTGACGTGAAAAGATATAATGCTTTGCTACCCACAGAAGGCTACGACCTTATTTAGGGCTTAATTTCCACTTCCACTTCTCGATACAAGTGTGCTTGAATACCCTACTCTACCCACAAGATATCCTATCCTCTACAACATTGACTCGTAATTTAAATCAGCCACACCACTCACATTGCACACCATCCATTCGACTCAATCCAGCCGCCATGTCTCCTCATAGGTCAGATTCGATGGAGGCTCAGGACAACATTAGGAAGCGAGTGTGCAAAGCCTGTGATCGATGCCGCTTGAAGAAGTCAAAAGTATGTATCGTCTGAACTGTGTTGTGTACCTCTCTCTAACCATACTAGTGTGACGGATCAAGCCCCTGCACTCGATGCAAAGCCGACAATGCTATCTGTGTATTCGGTGAGAGGAAGAAGTCGCAAGACAAAGTCTACCCGAAAGGGTACGTTACTCCTTACTCCTTTAGTCTTCTTTGGTCTAACAAATACAGATACGTTGAGATGTTGGAACAGCAACAAACGCAATTAGTAGCTGGACTTCGTGAGCTCTACAACCGCTTACAAAGGGGTGAGAGCTGGCCAGGACAGCCACTGCAGGAATCCACAGGCGGCCACCCATTGACGCACGACATTCTGGAACGCCTCGATCTTCTGCACTCATCCGGAGACGACAAGAGCCATTACGAGGGCTTTGAAGAAGACACTGCTCGCATGCAACAAAGACTGATCGAAGGAGGTGCTCCCTACACCCGAAGACGGGCATCCGTTAGCTCAGACTCTGAACATGGCCATGTTTCACCAAACTCATCGTATAACGGTACTCCGACCACCAAATCATTCGCTTTCGACAGCCCATTTACACGTCATAACGCGCCGCCAACACCGCCAATGAACAGCCCATTTCCCCGACAATCTCAAGTAGTATCGCCAGTCAAGCAAGAAGCACCCATGGTACAAGCACCTTTCATGAGCAGCACTGCGATGGATCCTTCGACGTTGTCGCGAGCGCCATGGATGAACGACACCATGATGATGGAAGACCCTGTAGACTTCAGCAAGCCCATGTATGGATTCGACAACTTTGGCGCATACGATCAGAACATGATGGTGGATCCGATCTCGATAAATCAAAGCGACCCAATGATGCCAGACTGGAACATCCATAGCGACCTGGATTTCAGCAGTTTCATACAAAATCCCGTTGGCGCATGATCATTGGTCCGGGCTTAACTCCGCTTCCTCCTCCGTATTTTCGTTTAGCGTTCAAGCGTTCTGGGATACTTTCCATTCTTATACGGCGTTCATTTCGGTCATGGCAATCGGCGTTAGTCGGCCGGCTTCCAGTGATCTTCTGGCGATTTCCTTTTCTTTTGTCGATGTTTCGACGGTTCACGATGACGTGAAATATTGCGCAAAGCATAGCTGGGACGAAACTCCGCGGATCGGCAATCTCGAATAAAGTCCTTCGGTCAGAATTACCGACCAGCAAGGCGATCAGATTCATGGCGTTATTGTAAATCTCAAATGTATCATAGTCGAAGACGATGTTAATCACCATGCTCGCGGGTTTCAGTGTGCGCGCTTTGACTTTCGATTACTAATTGCAGCTTTCAGCCCCACGTCCCCTTCGCATTCACCCGCACTGCCACAAGTCCATCAGGCGAAGCGATCCAAGTCCCTATACGGCATGCCGTCCGACGCGTCGTTTGCGTACTCGCGAGTGAACACTTCTGCCGTACCTTACGTGGTGACGACGGCAGAAAGGATGTCCACGAGTACTCCACACCCTCATTAGGCTAATCAATCGCCGCATACGTACCTAAGGTCTGCAGCGCGCACTCTTTTCTCACAGCCATAAGCTCAAGTATCCAAGGGACCTTTTACGAGCATTACTTACCTCTTTTTCAAGACGAAGACAATACTCGAAGCAAAGCCAGACTACTAGCTGAGGTGCGTCGCCGTCCTGTAGCTGCCCCGCTCCGGAACGTTTACCCCTCATCACACCACATCAGACCTCACGAGAGTGCAGCAATAGTGGTAGCTGCTCATAGCGCTTGAAGCATCCAACTAATCAGAGCGATGTAGATCAAACTTACGGGAGTTCGCCTATCTTTAAACTAGATCAGTCACATCGACGTTCGTATCATGTCTTCTACCAAGGCCTTTACATTTCTGCCCCTGGGCGCTATTATTCAAAAGTTTGTAGTGAACGGGAAGAACATTGTCCAGGGCTTCCCATCGGCAGAACTGTACAAGCAATACAACGCCCCGTACTTTGGCGAGACAATTGGTCGTATCGCCAACCGCGTGTCCAAGGCAAAGATCAACGACCTCAACGGGAAGTCCTACCAGCTGCCAGTTAACAACGGTCCTAACTCTCTTCATGGTGGAAACCTCGGCTGGGGAAAGCGAGAATTCGAAGGACCGTCTACTGTTGACCGTGATGGAAAGGAGGCTACCTTCTTCAAATACATCAGCAAGGATGGCGAAGAGGGCTACCCCGGTACTGTAGAGGTACGCGTGTGGTATGTACAAGCTAGAGAGGAAGTAGATGGTGCTCAACAGGAAGTCTTGTACATCGAATATGAGGCTGAATTGGTTGGCGATGAGGTCGAAGAGACTGCAATCAACATGACCAACCACAGGTAAGTTCTGTGACGGACCTCATATGGATGCCATACTGATAGCGTACATAGCTACTTCAATTTATCTGGCGGGCCCACTATCACGGGAACGGAAGTGAACCTCATCACAAACAAGTACCAAGTCGTAGACGATGGCGGCATTCCCACTGGGCCTATCGAAGAGTACCCTGGCGTCAGCGCCAAAAAGACCTTCACCTTGGGGCAGAAAGAGCCTGACATCGACGACTGCTTCGTTGCCAACACCGACCCCAGCAGCATCCCCATCGATACTCGTTCCTCGCCTCTGCAAAAGCTCGCGTCTTTCTACCATCCAGAGAGCAAGATTCATCTCGAGATTCACTCGACTGAACCAGCCTTCCAATTCTACACTGGTAAATATATCGATGTACCTGCTGTTGGCGATGTTCCTGCCAGAGGCGCCCGTTCTGGCTTCTGTGTCGAACCCAGCCGCTATGTGAACGCTGTCAACGTTCCCGAGTACAAGTTTATGATGACACTCAAGAAAGGCGAGAAGTATGGCACTAAGATTGTGTACCGTGGCTGGTCAGCTTGAGTCTTACCTGAATTGCCTATGTAGGATATTTGTTCCTGTCATCAAGAGAAGCTAGCCCTAAGTCAAGGGGACGTTATCTTATCTGCTAGCCACTGCCATAACTTACAAACACCGACATTTACTCTTGATGTTTTCAATCCACTATCTGTCTGGGTCAGATAACCGCCATCTCAAGTTTGATACTGGGCTCAGATGCACAATTGTCTAGATCTCGTCCTTACGCACATATTGCTCACATCACTACGTCAACCCAAGGAGTTCAACTGTCTAGCGGCCTTTCCTTCAGCAGCCATCCCTATTGATCACGACTCGGCTTTCCCCGTCCGAAGATCTAGACGTCTGGACCTTCGGCAATCAGTCCACAGAACGACGTCACACAAACGTGGTTTCACGGCCGCCTAACATCTAGCTCTGAGTCCGGCGAGAGACAAAGGCTCTGCTGCCGCTTATCCGTTTTTTGTTACCCCAGTCATAAAAGTTTATCCAAACCTCATCTGTTCTGATGGTGACTAGCCTATGCGTAGGCCACAAGTTGTGGAGCTCCCGCACGCAGTCCTCCAATGGCGACATTACTATGTTAGGGTGAAGAACACGAATCAACTACACCTAGTATTGCGTTGCCAAAGCTGACTGATGCACGAATGCAAAAGAATTCACTCATGGACACGCGGCAATACTGAACGGACCCTGTAAAATACAAGATATATTCCCACCTGGGAATGAGATGATGGGTACCTAAAGTTTGCGGCTTTTTGACGTCAAATTGCAGTTGCCGATCCTATAGAGGCTGCTGGAACACTCTCCGCATTCAACCATGCCCCACCGTTCCGGCATTGTCTCTCAACCACGTTATCAGTAGACAACTGTTTGTACATCTCCGTGACAAGTGTTTGCACGCAAACGAGCGGGGCCGCGGGAACAGTTGCAGAGTCCGCTACCAGACAATGATCACTGATGCGACGTAACCTCGACGTTGTCACCCCGATCTACTTGTAGACGTTAACAAGAGCGTTACTGATGATCAACAACATTTCCATGGTCAGCCCGAGCCTCTTGAGCGAGTATGGGGATAGGATACGCGATTAGTAACACCTAGCACCAACCAGAATTGTGGAGTAGGCTTGGCGGGACCGCTGGAACTGGTATAGTTGTGCAGCCTCCCTTTCCCCGCTGCGCGTCGCTCTTTTCGGTACCACACGTTTGGGATCTTTCACATCCTAGTCATTCGATGACATGAGGTTGCGTGGGCGTATCCAGTCAGTCCTTCAGCTCCTTCCATATGTTTCAACCCTTCCTCGGCCGACTAAGAAATTTCTCGTACGATCGCTGCTAACGGTGTTCCGATTGATAAGGCCACCAAATACGAAGCACGCAGCTGACTATGCACTTTATCGCCGACTACATGTCGCGCATACCAAAACGCGTGCGCATCGACACCAGCGTCGTAATCACCCAGCAAACGATGTCAGACAGCGGCCTCTAAGTTGGGCTGAGGGGGGCTCGATACACTTTCTCTGCTCGACCACGGCAGATGTGCGAAGTTTTCCTTTCGATACACGCCCAACATATGCTAAAACATCTAAGCTCCGTTGGCTAACTAAGAACAACGTAGAAGAAGCAAAGCCATGCGGCTAGCGTAGATATACCGAAAGTATATTGGTGTTCTCTGGGGGTTGCCGATCTCAACGCCGAATGCGATGATTACTCTTGGTGTTTGTACTATGAAGAATTGAGCTCGCGGTGGCTGGCTGGCATGGGAATCTTGACTGAGCCTCACGAAAAACAATGTGCGACAGCTACGAATTCGATCAGATACGCGTGAATGCATCAGCGATGCCAGGGGAGCGTCTACGCCCAACATACCCACTGTACCCGCCTGCATGCATGACATGCTCTACAGTCACTCTTACATCCACAACCCCTCAGACTAACGATCCTTCGGCTTGATCCGAAATCCCATCTAGAACACTGAATACCACAAGAAACCTGACTTTCCCTCCTGCGCACCACGCGTTCCTGCAAACCAATGAATGGAACGCCTTACGACCCTCCGTTCCCGCGCGCGATATTCTCAATACAGCGAACCACGCTACCAAACCCCCATAGCCCTAACAACTAGCTTCGTGCGGGCCTGATACGACACTCAGGTCGAGTCTGCCCTTGACTACATCAGAACCCAGCAGACGGAAACCTGTTTCGAGGCATCATCCCCTGTCCACATTCGGCAACATGGCATATTGCATATATGCATAGGAACGAATGATTCCTTGGCTAAAGAGCAGAACAGCACTAGAAAGGGAACGCTACATGTATGCCATTGTCGATTTGTCGATCTCCCGAAATGTTTCGGGGAGCAGTTATCGGTCGGCAATTCGGATACCGGCACGGGTCTTATCCGATAGCAGCAGCCGACTAAGGGGGTAGGTAGAATCAAGATGATTTGTTTAACGCCTTCGTGCGATGACGTCGACGATCGTGAACTGTTTTATCTGCGATGTAGATGTGTTTTCTTGGCAGGAAGGGGTGGTTGGGCTCGGTTCAATGTCGGGTTCGATGTTCGATAGCAATGTAGTGGTATGCGTGAACAGGTTTTTCTTTTCGCACGTGGGCTAGGGAAGAAAAGCAATCTCATTCCCCATACTCATCTAAAGATAAACGGAACCTGCCGGTGCAGTGCCAAGTGAGCTGCTTGTTGCTTCTTTGTATCGAGTTTGGGAAGATTGTTAAGATCAGCGTAGCACATAAGTATCGACGTAACATGCCATCAACAGTACCGACGATCAATGTGAAGTGATCTTGCTCTTTCATGTTTTTGCAATCGGTCGATGACTGATGATCTATGTTTTGGAACGAGGTGATGAAGGTGTTCAGCTACTCACCCAATTGACCTATTGGATGGCAAGTATACAGTGCGGATAACGGGCATGGGGACACAGGGAAAAAGCGGGACATTGTGTCGTCCAAAACGAGAAAGAGACGGTGGTGATAGATGCTCGAACTCTACTCGACACATTTACTCCGTAAATGCTGGTTTTCGCCAAAGGACAATGATACTCGGGCAATACTGATTTCGTATGCTGGTCTTTAGGCATGCCACATTTAATCCTATTGAAACACACCAGCAGATTCATAGAATCCCAAATGCACAAAAACTCCTCGCTATGCGGTAAGGTTTGTTCCTTCGTGATGGATAATCTCCATGGGTTGGGTATTGGTTTTGCGGTCATATCGTCCTCAAAGTGTAGAGAAGGCAGTCTTTAAAAGTTCTTCTTAGGCCTCATATCAACAATCTCCAACGGCGCATCGGTCAGCTCAACTACGTGGCCTGGTTTCAAGGCTTCCGTGTAGATGTTATCGACATCATGAGGATGGAAGATACCAGGTCGGCTGCAATTGAGAATGGCTTGTTTGCCCGGGGGGTCAGTCAGGCGGAAGCATCCCCAACTGTAATATGGTCAGTGTCTCGAACGCGGTCGCGAGGATATCAGCATACCTAGGCTGTTTTGTCGGTGCGCAAACGATTGCGATGCTTTCCGGCATCATGACCTGGTATCCGACGTGCGTATGTAAGTCTCTGCTGCTCATAAAGCAGGTTTGCGTTGGGTGTGTATGGATCCAGCCAAGAACCATGAGCTCCTCTTTGTCGCAGTAGTCGAATAGCTCCTCTTCATTCAACGTCTCGCATGTGTCGCTTGTACTTGTTTGCTCGGGAATGATAAGCCGTGTAATGAAGAGGGCGTTAGACTTCAATATTCCACCCAACATACCGCATGTTTCCAAGTTGAGACGTGTGTTGGACGAAGCAACAGCCAGGAACTGATTGCGCAATTGGGACGGGAGGAAGACAGGACGAAGGGGGTCGCCATTCTCGAGGAATGCAGAAGGCTTGAATGTAAACTCATCGAGTTCGGCTGAAGGAGTCAACGGTCTTTGGTCGGGTATCTTGCTTGGTAGAGGTGGCGCGCCTTCCGAGATCTTGCCTGGGACAGGCGGAGGCCGCGAGTGGTCGAATCGCGCATCGTACGTAGAAGCTGGCGACTTGGGCGGCAAGGGTGGTGGCGCTGACGGTGTTCCGGATTGTCTGTATATCTGCTCTTTCGGAGGTCGCGCAGGTGCTGCGTCGCGCGACTGTGAGTCTGACCATCTGTCTTGAGCGGTCTTGTATGGAACGGTAGGGTAGTGATATGGAGACGCGGTCTGAGACGTAGGACGCTGGATTTGTCAGTACAGGAGCCACAAAACTGTTGCATGGGGCGCACCGAGGAGTATGATGTTCTATGGCCGTTCTGCTGGAGCCTTGCAACTTCTTGCAGTTGGTTCGAGATATCATCTCCGTCGCCCGCTGGCTGGCTGAGCTGGTTCTGCCAGCTGTCCCATGTGCCTCCACTTCGACGTGCCTGCTCCTCTTCTTCCGACACACCATACTGTCGCACACCTCTTCTAATGGTATCTCTCCTCCGAACTTCCCTCTGCGCCAGTCTTGCGGCCAGTGATTGGTTTTCCAAAGAGCGTGCATCGATTGTGGGTCTGGAATCAAATGACCTTCTCTTGGACCCTCGGTCTTGAATGGCCAGCCCGTCCAGCTCCTGGGGAAGCGCTCCGACGCCAGTTCCTTCCAACGACCTTAGAGCCTCCTTCTGTCTCCGTCTCCTTTCTTCATGTTCCTCATGTCTCTTCTTGATGCGCGGCGCGATCTCCTCGAGCTTCTTCAGATCTCGACTGACGGCTGCCGTTGCAGCATTCAGCGCTTTCCGGTTCTCCGGTTTGTTTCTATCCGGATGGCCCTGTAGCTTTTGAAGGACGAGATCGGCGTGTCGGTACAGGAGGAGATAGGTCTGCGCGTCGTTGCCCTCTGCTTCATAGACTTGGGCCTCTTTTTGCATAGTACTGGCTGTGCGCAGCCAATTCGCCAACGGAATGTGCGCATTGTATGTGTAGTTCCCGGCTTGTTCCGTCACCTCAGGAAGGCTCACGGGGGTGTTGATGGTAGCCATGAGGGCGAGTGTTGTGGATGTGGCGGGGTGGGCACGAGGTACAAGTAACTGGGTATTCGCGAATTGAGCCTCAAGGCAACAACTTATCGACAAGCAGGACCGCTACCGGTGCGGGTAAGGGTTACGCGTCCTCATCAGCGACATGTGAGGATTATCTCGAGCGCTGCATCAAGACAATCAAGTCTGTGGCACTGTGATGGGTGAATGCTGCATCAAGGCGGGGCATTCAGGGCCCTGGTGCGGCGCGTGGCAAGCACGGCCAGTCCGTCATGACATGGTTGGGCATCAAGCACAGGGAACGAACATCAAGTGGAAAGGCACAAAGGGCAGAGGGTGCAGGTGGAAACCATGGCGACATGGTACCAGGAATTTGTTGGCAGCGATATCCCATATGCAGGGTAACAAAGGCGGCAGCGCGTGTTCACGTGTAAGGACATGGATGTACAGGTCCACAGAGTCTAATCGCGTCTAGTTTCCAAATATACGCAACAGTGTTGAATAGCGTCTAACAAGATCATGTTACCTTTCATTTATCCTCAGAGTCCTCCGACAGCTTGTCCCACTCGCTGTCGGTTGATATATCGCCGGTTGATTCTCCCATGCCCTTCCTTCGCTTCAGCGCATCCTCTACAGGTGCCGCAAGACTCGTCGTCGCCCCCGTAGTGCTAGCAGCAGTAGGGCCTCCACGACCCGCAGAAGCCGAGAGCTGTGTTGGGCTGTCTGATTCACTTCCGTCAGGCTTCTCAACGAATACGGTACTCTGCGTTTCCGGGCGTGGCGCACGCGGCGGGTTGGGTTTGGGCTTGAGGGTCTGCTTCTGCTCGACCTCGGTGTCGACCTCGGTGTCGTCGCCTGTATCCATTCCCTCTCCGTCGTCGCCTGCGTCACCCTTCTCTTTGCCGCCCCTTCTGGCTTCCCGGATGCGCTTTGCCTCCTCCTCCTTGGCTTGGGCAGCGCGAAGCTCCGTCGCAAACCAGTTGATTGACCACCAAAGCCCTCCACACAGAATCGAGAGAATAACAAAGTGTATGCTGTACGTCGCAATGAGCATGACGAACAAAAGGACCTGGAGCGCGGCGAACGAGGCGTTTGTTGCGATAAGGAGCGTGGGCGTCGGCCCCGCAATGAAGATGGACTCCCATAGCTGTTCGAAGAAGGATGCCATGGTGGATGTTTGGGTTTCGGCTCGTCGAGCGGTGGATAGTCGTGTGTCTGTCCAGTGCTTTGCTAACTGTCGGCGCTGTACTTGTACGGCCCCACGATACGGCTGCCTAGCCAAGTGAACAGAGTGTACTGTTAGGTAATGTAGTTCCACACACGTATGTAGAATTGGCGTGCGAATGCGACTCGGCCGTTTACCAGCGCCAGAGTGAACTGACGGAGCGGCGTGCTGGAGACTGGAGAGACGCTCGATTGCAGTTTGACGTTTCGGCGGGGCTGGCTTCGGCAGAGCTGTTTAAGCTAAACCCTGACCCTTCCCTTACCGCGTCACGCGTCTGGCCCGTTATATTACTCCGGACACTAGCCGTTTAGACACGGCAGCCATGCCTCGTGATCTTTGTCATTACTGTACCAAGACTTCGATACCCTCTTGCCTTACGATACAAGGATACATACAGATATGCAACAAGACGCTACAGAACAGGTCTGCTGGATAGTACTGCTGGACCCTTTCCTCCATCACCCCCTACCCGCCTCCCCCTCCACAGCTCCATAGTGCTTCAAGAACCTTCCCCAAACAACTCTCTCTCCCATCTCCGCCACAGCAATCGGCCACAACACCCTCCCAGCCCCGTCTTCCCAGCCAATCGGCCTCATGCCCTCGAAAGCATCTTCATACTCAGGCGCCGCACTCATGTATCCCGGATCCACTGTGTTCATGGCGATACGCTTCTTGCGCCAAGCAGGCTCTGCTTCTGTCTCGGTAAGCATGTTGAGTGCGGCTTTGGACATGTTGGTGTGGACGTGTTTGCCTCGTTTTGCAGATGAAGAGGTGTGAGACTCGAATATGCCTTCGCGGGAAGAGACGTTGATTATGTAGCCTTGAGGCTTGGTAGGTTTTTCAATACTACTGCAGCCCATAAGAGGAAGGAGTTCCCGGCAAAGGATGAAAGGGACGAACGTGTTGACTGAGAGAGCGGAACCAACGTCTTCGTATGGTATCTCAGATATAGATTGCACCCAGGAGGATTTGGTGTAGGGCTCTACTTGTGTGGTTGTTTTGTACGACATATCGAGTATGTCTCCCGAGCCTGCAGCGCCTGTTTGTTCTTCCAGAGAGCCCTCTGGAGGCACACTAGTCGACCCAGCGTTTAGCAGTCTCATTGGCAGTTCTCGTCCTCGCACTCTGGTTGTGTAACTCCCCTCAATCAATAGTTCCCGGTGTACTAAACGTTTACCCAAAGCCTTCTCTCGCTCTATGGCATGTTCTTCTCTTTTCACGCTGTCTGTAAGTGTCTGCGCTGCGTTATTGATCAATGCGGACAATCTCACGTCCCCTCCATGAGCCCATTGCTTCAGACATTGTTTCGTTTCATGCACCAAATCGTGCGCGTCCTTCGCACACCTGAAATCTGCACCTATTGCTTTCAATCTATCCTTCCATACATGGGAGTCAGGCTCTTCGATATACCGCGATATAGCATCAAGCGGATACCGTGTTGTGACGATTACTCGGGCACCGCAACGCAGAAGACGCAATGCCGTGTGGTAGCCAAGATTGACTCTCGCTCCTGTTACGAGCGCGGTGAAGGTATGTGGCAAGATCAGCTTTGATGGGGTCGAAAGCATGGAAGAAGAGTGGTTGAAGGAACCGCAGGGTATGCACATGGCTGGCTGAGGAGGGTATGAAGTGGTCATAGCCATACGACAGATGTAACACAAACGTTTGCGTGGCGTCGGTGGTGGCCTTGGAATTTCCGCCTCGTGAGGAGCAGACTCTGAGATGGTGTGTCGACTGGGAGTAACTCGCTCCTCCAACCAAGCCATGATAGTGCTAGCTGTGGTGTCTCGCTGGATTATAGCGGCCTCTTGTAGATGCGCAATAACTCTCAAGGTAGTCGAGAGTTCCGAATGAGGTATTGCCTGCTCGGCGATTTCAATTTCGTGGACAGTTCCGTCCGGCGTTGTGTTCGATCCACCTCTCTTCAGATGCCGGCGGATCCTGCTCAGAACGTTTTTGTAGATGAGTTTTTTGATGTCGTGACCCAAAGCGGGCGACGGTGTAAGGCATGTCGCAATAGCCAACCCTCTTTCAGTTTCGTATTCCGGTAGATAGTAAGCTAGCCAGCTGCAATTCCCTTGAGCGCTGATGAGCGCTTCATCATCTCGCAGCCAATTGGATATCTCTTGTGGTGTAGCGGTGGCTGCGCAATGCGCTGCTAATAACGGTGAGAAGTGTGCCATGGTAGTAGAAAGTACACTTGATACGGAAAGTTGAGATGTATCTTATTTTCTCGACACTGGAGCAGTGTGACTATTCAGGTAGGCTACGAGTGCAGGTATGTAAAAAAGTTCGCGTTACATTCTGACGGAGCGACACATTTGAGGGAATAGCAAGAAATTGGGTTTTGCCATAGCGAATCACGTATACCATAAGCTTCCTTTCGGTTCTAAGGGTGTCTCAAAAAGTGGGCGCTCATAAGGTGATTCGAGGTAGTTGCTGATAGTGGACCTTGGTTAAGGGCGGCGTACCTGACGCTACCGGCGCCCTTTCCATGACTCGACCCTTGGACGCCAGGCAGCAACATTTGACGAATGGCAAGCGCAGATGGTTTTATTCTCATAACACAGAGAACGAATAGAGGTACCTTTCAATCATAACTATTCACATCTTAACAGGCAAGCCACACACTTGGAAGATTCACAACCTCCGGTCTAGTCCTGTGCCTGCCCCAGACCAAAACCAATCAAGCACCAAAGGAAAATAAAAAACCTATGCTAGCAACTAAAAAGTTCCAGCGCATCGCGCAGGATCTCGAAAAGCTCCCTTGTGAGCTCCACGGAGACATACTGAACGACCTTGAGTTCTCGCAATTGATCCGCCTGTCCTCATGCGCTGGTCCCCGTCTCACTTGGTCCCTTGAAAACAGCATTTCAGCTTGGGGCGATCACTTCCGTGCTGAAGACAGAAGCACATGGCAAAAACTGCTCTCCATCTCAGACAGTGTAAGGCGTTTGTGCTTCATCCAACCCAAGGCCAAGGACGAAACACCATACATATTCGAACGCAGCCTAGCTTTTCTGTTTTTCCGCAATGAAGACTGGAAGGCGACTGCATGCGGATGGTTACCAGCAGATGTTCAAAATCGGTCCAGGTTTGCTGAACACCAACTCGCAAGAACTTTCCTCGCGGAACTTAACTCCATCGTCATGGACAGAACGTGGTCTGCGTTCCACGAACACTACGCACGCTTCATCGAACCATGGCTCCCACGATTGTCCCCGCAAGCCAAAGCTATCTTCTCCAAGGTCCCCAAGCTAGGTATAAAAGACGCGGTTTGCCATAGGTACGCATACCTCTCGAAGGATCTGCCGTTCAGTATCGACGATCTAGCAACATTCATCGACATGTACCAACAATTCCGATTGCTCAGGGCAGAAACAATGGCAGCCGAGCTCTACCGTTTGGCAGATATCTACGAAACCTATCGAGCCGTTTGACCTTAGGGTTCGTGCACCTGATAACCTCAACACGCAACATGTTCCCACTGATATACGTCGCTGTGCGAGGAAGCTGGTTAGGAAGGCGAAGAATACGAGGTGGAAAAATACCGAGGGGTGCGTTGTCCGCTTCGCATGGCCGGCCCTGGTGCCGTATGAAAGTCAAGTAGAGATGTTCCAAGAGCATATTACGGACGCTACAGATATACAGGTTGCGCCCGCGGACATTGTGGACAAATGTTGTGCTGTTGTTGCGAATGCCCCATCTTGGGCGCGAGACAATGCAGAAAGAGAGGTGATGGCAGTGACACGCCTGTATGAGACGCTGAAACAGCAGCACCTAAGCTTGCATGGGCTCAATTTCAAGGTTCTAATTCAACCTTACCAAGCGGAATTTCCAAAAAGGGCGCCTGTAGCATTACCTGTTCTTCCGCGTGGCGATGCGGAGTTGGAATGGCTAGAGAATTTCGCAGAGGTGACAGCGTGGATGGAAGGGAAAACTACCCAATAGTTTTTAGAACAGTCGTTTGAGATGGCTTTATTGCTTGTACTCATATATTTACACGAAAAAAGGGTGGCAAACGCGAGGAAAAGAGGGAACCCACCCATATGATACATCCGTCTAGCGTCCTCCAACGAGAGGTGGTTCCGATTTTAAATGCCCATTGATATACATGTCAACGTATTCTCGTTCAGGCCAACCACCCCACTGTTCAACACTCTCGATTTGTGTCTTGATGAGAAGTGCTATGTCTTCTGGTGCGCCAGATAGGTAGCCAGCTTCTGGCTCAAGAGCCCCACCATCGACAGCTAATCGCAATGCCACAAGCATCTTGAAGAGAATGTCTCTGCCTGAGTGCTGAGCTTTTGCGCGCGCCGTCACTTCGACATGGTGTTTGGTGAGCCAGGTAGTGAAGGAATAAAGTCCTTCATAATCCCGGAGAGCAGTTAGTGCTCGTACGTAAGCATGTAGTTCTGCAGGTCCTGGAATGTGTAGCGGAACGACGTTACTACCAGTCTGGTGACCTGAAGGTGACTGCACGTCGGCATTGATACCGACCAAGCTATTAAAGAGCGTTCGGAGGCGATGGGAACTGGTGGAAAGGACATGTCGCGTATCCTCAATGGACGCGAAGCCTTGCTGGGCGGTCTGAGCAGTGTACCGAGTCGCAACACAGAATTGGAGAAAGATTTCGTCGTCGATATTGAGATGCAGCTGCTCCATCTGCTCAAGGATGTCACAAATACGTTTATACTGAGTAATTCCAATTTGCCCATTTTGGTTGATATGCCATGCTAGCTTCTCTATCATGGCAGCCCAAGCTGGTCGGTAAAGCGGCCGATAATGTCTAAGAACCATGTACGCGTATTCGACCAGGTAGTTGCGATTCGACCTGAGCTGATTGGCATGCTGTTCCGGCCGTAGAAAATGGACTTCCTTGGGCAGTGACTGTTCGACGCGTCCATAACGACATAAGAATACGATGATCGCCTTGATGTAATAACCTAAGATCGGCTGGTATGGCAGATCTTGATCGTGAGTTCCATCAAGAATTCGGCCTATTATGCCATTGCACCTGTCCTTAGCCATGACCAGTAATTCTAGGCCCATATCGAAGTCGGAACACGTCTCTACTAGGAAGACGAGGAGATGATTATCAGGCTTGAGCTGAGTGGTCTGCATCCGTTGAAATAGCTCTCTATACCCGGGAACGGGCTCGCTGATGTAAACGTGGTGTAACGTGGACAGCGGGTCTGGCAAGACTTCTTTCATATCTCCGGGTAACAAGTAGGTGGGGCCTTCTTCTGGAGTGCCACCTGCGTCAGATGAGAACTCTGGGTGTGTCAATCTTTCTGCTGTACCGTAATGCAACTTTTCGAACATTGCGAGATATATAGCGGAATGAGCACGTCCTCCAGATAGCTCTTGTGAGAGGAAGCATGCCCAGGCTTCCCTGCGCGTGCGTGTCGCTCGTATGCGGCCAGCCCAGAGTAGAGCACGAAGTCCATTAGCCTTGCGGTATTGAAAGGAGGAAAGAGGTAAAACCGTCCGAGTTTGTATCGTTGGACTGGAGTCTTTGTCCCAACCAGCATAGACTTGCACTATGTCTTCCCACAACCCGCCGCTGTATCCAGCTTCGTGCATACGGTGCAGAAGCTGGGAAGCTCGGGAAGCACCGAACTCGTAGCCTTTGTCCTCATCCATTGCTGTACGATTCTCCTTCCACGGAGGCCAGGCAGACCCTTTAAGCTCAGCCCATTCTCTTTCTTGTGGTGTCTTGGCATGAGCCAGCTGATTGAGCGCTACGGATAGGAAGCCGAGTCGCGTCACTGCTACTGCAGGCGACCTATTGGCCATGTATTGAAGGATCTGGAACTGGGCCTTTTCTTGGTGGACAGCGGTCACTACAGGTCGAGAAGGTGTCGGCAGTGATATCAGCTTAAGGAGTTTGTTGCAAAACTCAGTCAAGTCTGAAAGTGTATTTGGTGGCAGAGGATCAGCTCCAGGTGTATTATCATGTAGGCGGCTTGCTTCGGCGGCGAAAAAGGAGGCGACCCATGACATTGACTCAGGCCGGTGTTCTCGCACATGGTGGAGTAAACGAACCGTAATGATTTTAAGTTGGGACCAGCTTATCGACTCTGAATACGCAACATGAACAAGGTGCCTCATGATGGTGTCAAGGGCAGGTGCTTTGATGTGCTTACGACGTAGGAACAATAAGAGTAAGAACAGAGGCGGCATCTCAACCCCCTGTTCGAAAACCCTTGCGGCTTCAATCGATCGCGGCGCCACGAGACAAGAAGCCCATCGCTCTACGCTTTCCATGGTGTAGCCTTGATTTTGTAGCAGCTCCATTTCCAGAGGAGCATAGTAAAAGTCCGACTTGGCTGCTGGTGTCGCTGTGTGATGTTGGAGAAACCGGGCAAGGATTGAATAGAGCGAGACGGGTTCATCAAGCAGAAGAGTGCTGCGACAAAATCCAGTCTTCGGCTTGAGTTTTCGCGAAGGACGTCGCGGCGCAGTATAGGACAGATCAGTCCCATCAGATGGGGTAACATAAAGGTCTCTGGCTGGACCGTTTATGGAGGCAAGGACTATTGCAGGCCTAGTTGGGCGCAGGGCCTTCCTGACGGCGCGGGACAGTTGCGGTCGAAATGTGGGACGCCCTTCAGTTTCCTCCACCTCAGAAAAGGTGTCATCCTTGGAAGTGTGTACGGAGTAGCGCCTTGGAGGCCGTTGAGGCTCGTCATGGCGACGGAAGGCTATGCCGTGGCGGGGGTTGAGAGTCGTGGGGCGATGGGAGAGCAGAAGCACCCAAGGAGCCTGGAGACTGCATGTCGAAAATACGGATGTATCTCGCTTTTGGTGATGGGTAACAGGGCTACAAAAACACTTGCAAGTAAGTCAGTATACATCAGCCTTGAAGCAGCAGCGAGCATACCCAGTAAGGTACTAGGCGCGTCACACGACGACCGAAGCAGTACGTGTTACCTGGAGCTGCCAGGGAGAGTATTGGGGGCATTCATCTGACGCAACGAACGTGGACAGACGCGTGGGAAGGGCAATTGCGATGGCTTGCCGAGGGCAGTAAGAAAATCGTGGGTAGTTTATGCTCCATCGTCACTAGCGTGCTATGCTACAGTCGCAAACCACGTCTTGAACATGGTTACCAGAGACAGCGGATAGGACTGTGAAGAGCGGATACCTGTGAAATAGCAAATTGTGATACCAAGGTCATTCCAGCTGTCGAGGAAGCACGGCAATCGTCGCAGCTCGCTAGGCGGTGTTTCTTGTGGTACTATGCGGCGTTCCAAGGCTGTCTTGGCACCTCGCGTTCCATTCATCGCTCGCTGCACGCACTTCGACCAGACTAAGTCAACTTTGGACAACTTCCAACAGCACGACCCAACCTCTGGGGAAATATTTGCGCGTCAACAGGAGCAGTCTTGGGTCCGATTACGCGCTTCTGCCAATTCCACCATCGCGCCTTCCGATATCGCGGGGAGGGAATGCTGTGAAGGAGACAGACTAAGAACGACTCCGGCCGCCCTGAGCGCGTTGCATCCCACGGCATCACTCGCGCATCGCCAACAGCCCCCCAAAAGTCACCATGGCCGCCGCCAACGGCACCCTCACCCCGCCGTCGCTGCCGCCCGCGCCCAACTCGCCCTCTGCCGCAAAACGCAAACTCGGAGAGCCTCATGGGACTGCTGCCAACGGCGCATCCACGCCTGCGCAGGGAGAGAGCGCACCCGCCAACACACGCTCTCTCCAGGCTGTACTAGGAGACATACTGGCAGTCCTCAAGAGGTATGACACATGCAAACATTGTCCCGCGCCTACGCGTTTTGGGCTCGAGGAACCGTCTGCGTTCGCATGTTGACACTGAATAGCTACGACACAAAGCCCTCGATTCTGTCACACCCCATCACCTCGTCGATAACGCGATCTGCCTCCGGAGAAGCCGACTCGAAGCGCACCAAGCTGACCCCACCGAGCGGCCCTGCGACCATCACCAACTTGATTCAAGACGGCTCATACCAATCTTTGCACGCATTGGAGAAGGATGTCGAGAGTGCTGCCGCCGAAATCCTGGCAGCCAACGGCCCAAGCGACTCGTCAACTGCGCCAACATCGCCCGAGGACACTGCGCTTCAAGGCAAAGTGCTTGCTTTCCAAACCATACTGAAGAACTTGGTTGCCAGGGAAGATGCGCGCAAGGCACATGGCCCAGCAGAGGGCGTCAACGGCGACGCGGATGCCCACGTCTCGACAGAGGATGGTACCCCTGTGCCAATCAAGGAGGAAGAGCAGGATGCCGAGGTGCCTCAGAGTAGGACCGTTCTTACGCTGTACGGAAGCGCACCGCCGAAGCAGCTCTTCTCCAGCTTGCAGCAGCCCCAGAAGATACCACCCACCGATGGAATATCTACACTCGATACCGCCGTCAAGGTTACTCTACCTCTTCGCGAGACGAATCTGCCCAACCTTATCTCGACCACCGAAGTATATCCTCTCCCCGATCCAGACAACAAAAAGAAGATTGCGACCATTGGAGAGGTCTTTCGCGCACCTCCCCACCTGCCACAGATCAGCCCTCCCAAGTCTGCTCGACCGACAACGAGCAAAGGCAACAGTACCATCACCTTCGCGCACCAAGAAGCGCCCAAACCCCGTCGCAAGGGATCGCAATCGTACGCGCACCAAAATCTATCTTCGGGCTTTTGGCTTGGGTATGGCGGGGTGGATATGCCCAAGGACCAGACCTCACCAACGGCAAAGCAAAAGAGCAGACAGCGGGCATTGAGCATGGGTGAAGCGCAACAGCCACCGTCTGAGGCAATCCTGGTTGCAGTCCAACAGGCCAAAGAAGACGCCTTGTTCCGCAGTGCCTACTCGAGCTTTGCTCCGACGCGAGATGACAGCTCCGCTATTATCCCGGAAGAGACCAAGAACATGGTATGGTGGCAGAGGGTTGGTGAGAAGCGCTTCAACGACATGTTCCCAATCGATCCTGCTCTGCTCGATCCTGAGGAGGCTAAGCGGGCCCTTGCAAACGGAACAACCGATGAGGACGAACTGTTCAAGGAGGCTGTGGAGAATTTCACGCCAATCGAAGGAGATGAATTGCCTGGCATGGAGGAGAAGACTGAAGAGGAGAAAGACACAGACGAGGTGCTCAAGGAAATTTCCGAACTCTTGGAGACACTTGCATCTTATCAAAGGATACGAAACCTCTCCCTTACAACCAACCCACGCACACCTGTCGTGCAGAACGCCTCCCTTGCGACTTTGGCCGGCAGCCCATCAACACCTTCGTCTGAAGAGTTTGATGTGTATCAGATTCTCAAGTCCCAGCTTACCTTGTTGATCTCACAGCTTCCGCCGTATGCTGTCGCCAAACTCAACGGAGACCAGATGGACGAACTCAACATCAGTCGAACCATTCTGTTCGATGCCAAAGAGTACAAGGGGGTTTTGGAGGAGGACCAACTGTCTAAACTGGCAAAGACACCAGGAATGACTACTGCAACGCCAGCTACTTTGGCTCGAACAGGCTCTGGAACCAATGCGCATTATCCCGCGGCTAGCCATCAGTACAGCCGTCCAGGACAGTCAGTGCCTCAGTCCGGCGCTCGTCCAGTGTATACGCAACCGCAGTCTCTCCATCGGTCATCCTCAATGCATCTACAACGCTCGCCGTCGAATGCCGCGCAAACATTCCAACCAGGTGGTGCGCCATATGCCCCCAATGCTCGATCAGGGTATTCGGCAACCCCATCGTACAGCCAACAGACGCCGCGACCAAGTTATGGAACTACACCTTCTGGGCAGTACTTTCCGCAGCGTTCTGCACAGCCAAGTGGCTACAGTGGCGCCACGGGCTCGCAGTACTACAACTCGACACCAGCACAGGGTCAAAATCGATATGCCGCACAGCAGAATCAGGGCAATTTCTATCCTCGGTCACAAAATGCGGCACCTCTGTACAATGGCTCACAAGCACCGCCGCCACGTAATGTTTCGCCTATGAAGGGCGCACCACCTACGCCATCAGCTTATGGTACACGGCCAACATACGGCACGCCGGTGTCTGGAGGGCAAATGCGCAGCACCTACTACGGTCCATCGCAATACGGTGCTCCGCAGACGCCTGCTGCCGCTGGCCCCTATAATGGCGTAGCCAGCAATCCGCAGCAAATGATGCTTGAGAGGCAACAAGCCCAGCAAGCACAGGCCCGGCTTGCAGCACAGAACAGTTTCAGTAGTAGTAGGCAAGGGTCAGGGACGCCGCAACCTCCCAACGGCTCCATGTATGGCGCTAATGGGGCGTCCATGTCGACGTAAGGTGTTTTGATGAGTAAGTGTGAATTCACATGGTGTTCTGGATACCATAGATCAACTTGTGGCGTTTCGGAAACTCTAGCAACAAGCGGGGGGGGATTATCATTGCCAGCATGTGGTTTAGTTGGTGTAGTCAGTGTACTTGGCGATAATGACGCGGTGTCAGGGCTCGAACAGGCGCCTTGTATTGACTAAAGTAGCATATTTATTGTAACCGACGTTAATCTCATTTGACCAGACTGCTACGAGCATCACCCATGACATGACTGCTAGCTGTGGCTGTGACGTGGCGTGGACCCTGCATTCCGCTTAAAGTTGCCGAAATGACGTCGCGCAACGCGTTCTTGCCGGCGAAGCAGCTGGGCGGTCCGTCAGTCAGTCGCAGATCGCAATCCTCATCGCTGGCTTTGGGAGCAGAGGTATGAAATACACACACCGCCATGGCTCACCTCTTGCGCGGAAAGCAGGCCGGTGTCAGCAACGACCTTTCCCAAGGCCTAAGTCCTGATCTGTTTGTGCTCGACCATGTACGCGCTCGCTGCCCTCACCCCGCCGTTCCCGCCCTCGCCAACAGCCCTACAGGCGCAAGAGCTAACAGCACGTGAAGATCCGCAACTATGGCATCAACTCCAAAGTCACCCAGGTCGCATACGACCCCGTCCAGTCTCTCATAGCCGTCGGCACCAGCGAGAGCAAGTTCGGCCCCGGCCAAATCTACGTCTTTGGCCAGAAGAGAGTCGAGGTTGTGCTGCCGCTGCCCACGCGCAGCGCCTCGGTCAAGATCCTGCAGTTCTGCGCTGAGAAGTTGCTGTGTGTAGACTCCAAGAACGACTTGTCCGTCTTCTCGCTCGAGACCAAGAAGCTGCTCAACGCCCATTCTCCGCCCGCCAAAATCACGGCCCTCCACTGCGACCCGACCATCGACTATGCGCTTCTGGGCACACAGCAGGGCGATGTGTACGCCTATGATCTGGCCAGGGAGGCTCTTACGCCCTTCAAGATACCCAATTTGTGGAGAGAGAAGTTTCCCCGTGCACGCCTCGTCTCCGTCGTCACACTATCGCTCCACCCGCGAGACATCGGCTCCCTCCTGATTGGATACAACTCTGGCGCCGTCATCTACTCGTTCAAGCAGAACAAGGCCTTGCATTTCTTCCACTACCTGGTTCCCAAGGGAGCTCCTGGAGGCGATTCCGATCCCGCCTCCATCCACATGGACCGCGAACCTCCCTTGACACAGGCTGTCTGGCATCCCACTGGCACCTTTGTTCTGACTGGGCATGAAGACAGCAGTATTGTTATATGGGACTCCAAGGACGGCCGCATTGTGCAGGCGAGGACATTGACCGACACAAACGTGGACAAGCCAGGCCAAGGGAGCTTCAGTCCAGGTGCTGTCGACGGGTCATATGCGCTCAAGTCACCCATCTTCAAGATCGCTTGGTGTGCAAATCAGGATCCAGATGATACCGCTATACTTGTCGCCGGTGGACAGCCATCCAACATCTCAGCCAAAAGTCTGACCTTATTCGAGTTGGGCCGGACACCTGTTTATGCTACCGCGTCCTGGCAAGTACTGTCGGATCACTTCGAGAACCCTAAAAGGCAAAGAATACTTCCATGCCCACCCGGAACTGAAGTGGTCGATCTATTTCTCATTCCACGGACCTCCCCTCACTATGCTGGCTGTCACGATCCAATTGCGATTATCGCTTTACTTGCTTCTGGAGAGTTGATCACCTTATCGTTCCCAAGCGGAATGCCCATCACACCCACTAACCAGCTGCATCTCTCCATGACACTTGTACATCCGTACATCAACTACGCGAACCTGGCACCGGTAGACCGCACACGATGGCTCGGCATGACCGAGAAGCGGCAACACGGTCCACAGTTTCTTATCGGTGGTGCCGAGGCTGTACATCCTCTCAAGCGATTCGAACACCGCAACATAGTACAGACAGCTCATGCAGACGGCACAATTAGATTGTGGGATGCAGGCCATGCCGATGAGATTGAGAACGCTGCCTTGCTACAGGTAGACGTTGCTCGAGCAGTCGGCCGACCAGAGCATGTCAACGTCACACACACCTCATTCGCAGGTGCGGCATCTGAATTGTCTGTAGGACTGAAGAGTGGTGAAGTAGTTGTGTTCCGATGGGGTGTCAACAAGCATGCTGGGCAGGAATACCCACCAGGTGAAAACAAAGCTCAAGCGCTCACAGATATCTCAGAAAGGAGTGAAGCGGCTCTCAAAGAGGGACTTTTGCCCTTTACCTTGCTTGACGAGGGCAACGGACCAGTCACCGCCTTGAAACATTCTGACGTTGGCTTCGTTGCTGCGGGCTTTGAAGGCGGCAGTCTGGCCATCATCGATTTGCGAGGACCGGCAATCATCTACAGAGCATCGATACAAGAATTCATCAAACCAGACAAGCGCGCCAGCTTTCGACGGAGTTCGACTCAGGCGACTCCTAAAGCAGAGTGGCCGACCTCTATTGAGTTCAGTGTAATGACGCTCGAAGATGAAGACTACTCCAGCATTTTGCTTCATGTGGGCACCAACCTTGGTCACCTTGCAACCTTCAAGCTACTACCGGAATCAAGTGGCCGATACTCAGTGAAGTCTGTGGGCGTGTGCTCATTAGAAGACAAAGTCATCAGCATTTGTCCCATGCATGCCGAAACTGGTCGACCAGCTTATGCTTCGCAGTCTGCCGTTGCTGGACTTCGAAATGGTTCCAAGATTGGCGGTGTGCTTCTAACCACAACAGCATCGGGAGCGAGGTTATTCCGCCCTGCCACCAGTAAGGGAGCGCACAAAACCTTTGACCAGTTCCTGTGCGATGCGGCGACTGTAGTTAGATACGAGGACAAAGGATACGCGCTGCTTGGCTTGTATGGTGATGGGTGTGCGAGAGCTTATTCACTACCTGCATTGAAGGAGATCGTGTCCATCAATCTCAGTGAGCTGCTAGACGTACGGCGCTTCTCCGAGGCAGTCATCACAAGTACTGGTGACATCTTCGGTTGGAAAGGTCCCGCAGAGATGGCTCTAGTTAACGTTTTCGGAACCGGACTTCAATAGTGAGTCGAGTCCTCTCTTAACTAGCGATACTTATACTGATATCTTCTAGTGAACGCGCTAAAGACGTCCTGCTCAACCCAGAGCTGTTGATCCCGCCACGACCGACTATCAGCAATATCCAATGGATCTCCGGCACACAGTACGTCACACCAGCTGACATGGATCTTCTCAGTAAGTCATCTCGCCAGTTACTCTCAAGTATCGACTAACATGCCTTAGTCGGTGGTCCTGATCGACCTTTGTCGAATCGTCAGATGGCGCAACAACGCGCAGAGGCTGAGCAAGAACGCCGTCGCGCCAACCCGTCCGCTGCCAGTTCTTCTGCCGCAGGGTACCAGTCCTACCCCACTCAACCGGGGACCCCAACTCAAGAAGGCTGGGGTGCCTGGGCGAGTCGCCAGCTCAATGAACGCACGGAGAAACTCAACATTGTTGGAGATAGCATGGATAATCTTTCGCAGAACAGTGCAGGTTGGGCAAACGATGTCAACAAGTTTGTTGGAAAGCAGAAGAGAGGGCTCGTCATGGGCGCTATGAAGAGCAAGTTTGGGTTTTGAGGCGCCAATGTCTGGTAACTACCACAATGTTTCATGCTGGTTTATAGCTGTACGATCGACGACGGAGGTTTGAGGCGAAAAACAGATGGTGTTCGAGCTAACTCGAGCGATTGCAAAAATGGATTCTTTAAATTCTCTTCGCAAGTGACAGGTGCATAAAGTATGATGTTCCATTGCCATGCTTGGAATTCCTGTGGTGCACACTCTAAAGTGTGGAAAGTACTGTTCTTGACAGGATACCAAGGCAGACTAAACCGATACCATCTCGCCACTTCTTGCCCTTCATCGGCGACCCCTGCTAGCGCAACGCGACTCCCCCAACCGTGCGCAGGTTCACACTTCTGGACATTTCATCACCTTCTCATGACCACACTGAAACTGACAGTTGTCGATTCTTCAAAGCGATGAGTTTTTTAAGCAGCATTTGGCAACTACTCCCGAGCGTGGACTGGCTGTTCGGCACAACTGAGCCAACTGGCCCTTTCACACCAACCTACGCTGACGTCTGTCACGCCCGCGCCCTCCTCAAGACACTCAAACTGCCCACTGAACTAGTACTCAGCATCCTGGAGCATGCGCAATATTGGCCTATTGCTGAATTCTCTCAGAATGGGCGCAAAGTCCATGCCAACGCCAGCGCTAGCGCCAACAGCTCATCCGCAGCAGCATTGTGTCTCGAAGCCGAAATATACTCTGCATCTGTCGTAGAAAGGATACGTCTTGGTGGCGAAACAGTAAAGATCAAGCGCATTACCTTTGATGTGATGAGCAGAGACCAAGGATGGACAAGCGAAGACACACAAGGCACTTTCTCGACGTCTTCATGGCTTGAAGTATCTATCCTGCGAGATGCTTCCAACATCAACAGTCGACTTCCTACTCCGCGGTTGGTCAATACTTGGCTGAGCAGCCCAATGGATTACCATACTAATATGGTTGGTCGTGGCTGGTCGCTCGTCAAGAGGCCAGAGAGCGCGTTGCAGGGACCGCAGGGGGGTGAGGGGGACTATGCGTGGTATTTGCAGGGCAATCGCGTCATGGCTTCGGGGCAGGAGTACCATGTTGCTTGGGAAGAGCATGGTTTGAGTGAAGTGAACGAGGGGAATGAAGGCGCAGGTAGTGGAGAAGGCTTCTTGAATGCGTTCAGACAGGGAGATCGGGTGTTGGTGTGGGCGAGGGCCAAGGTACGGTCAAGACCACGAATATGGTTTTGACATTACAACTAACTTTCTGAATAGTACCCAGGATGGCTGTGTATCGTCGATAACGTCAACATCACTGTCCATTATGGCTTTTGAGCACCCATCACACAACTGCCTGAGTACGATGTTGGCATTACTCATTATGGGGGTGCAAATGCGTCTATTCAAGCTCCTAGATTGAACACGCCATCTTGCTTTTAAGCGATGACTCACTCTAATGAGCATGTGATGAGGAGATGTGTACGTAAGGCACCGATCCCATATGCACCCAAGCAGTTGACTTTTCCTGTTCCGGAAAAGAAACATGCTTGACGCTGCGCAGCAAAGCCTCGATATTCAAAGCACTCAAGACAAATGTCCCCATCGACTATGAGAGCGCTCACACTTTCATCCTAGTCATTCTCCCATATCTCTACCATCCGCTCAACTCACTTCGCATCCTCCTCCAGGACCGTTTTCAACTGCCGCAGATACTTTCCAAATTGCCCGAAATTGCTCAATTCCATCCCTCGGGTGCATTTCATCAGATTGCTAGCTGCCAATTGAAGATTATCGAACTGGTTCTTGACCCTAAGGTAGACTTTTCGGACATTCTCTTCTTTGCGTTCCTGGGTAGGAACGGCTGGCGCGAACGGGGTTGGGGATGAAGGGGCAGGAGACACTGCTTGTGAGATGAAGATGGAGGGGTATGACGATGATTGTGATAGTTGGGATGACGGGGGTGTAAATATGGAGGGCGGAGCAGGTGGGAACGCGGGTCGTGACATAGGCGGTGGTCCAGTGGCGGCGGCTCGAAGGGTCTCGTTTTCCGTTCTAAGTCGTCCGTTTTCAGTGATGAGGAGGTCTTTTGCCGCATCCGAGGTTGGTTCCTTAGCCTTCATGACATCTTCCATTATATTTTCGTGCTCCCGTCTCTCTGCCTCTCTTAAACGTCTCTCTTCTTGTAACTCTGTTGCTAGCTGATCGTTCCTTGCCCTAATGTTGTCGATTTCGATGCGCTGCTGATCTCTATACCTTGTAATAGCCCTCAAATTACTTCTTTCAGTTTCGAGTTCTTGTTGTAGTCTCTCTGTGGCCTGTTTTGTAGCGTTGCTAGATTGAACCCGTATCAACTCACTGTCGTCTTTATCTTTTTCGTGAAGTTCCTTTATCTTATCAAGCTCTAATTTTGCAGCATCGAGCTCTTTGCGCAGCTGCTCTTTTTCTTGCTTATCGTTGGATTCCGGGTTCGGTGTGAGAGAGGCAATACTAGGCTTAACATCATCCTCATCTTCGTGGATGTTTATCTTCGGCGCACTAAACCTGCCCTTTCGCACAGGATGGAGCTTGTCATCTTCGCTATCGGATATTGTTATGATCTCAGTGTCTTTGTTGGGCTTCGTCGTTGATGCAGTTGATATGCCGTTGCCCATGTTCCCCTCATAACTAAACTTCTGCTTGCTGTTTGGTTCGGTCTTCTGACGTTTTGCTGTTGCTCTTGTTAGACGTACAGGCACAGCGCGCTTCTTCAGTGTGTCTGTAGTGGCCTTTCCAGCGTTCCTAGTCGGTGTCTGCTTAGCAGTCATTTCTGCTCGAGTAACTGGTGCTAGGAGTGGTGCGGGCGGAGCACATAATCCACTTTGGTAGGCTCTCTGACGATCGAAGATCAGAGTAGCGAAAACTTCGCAGATAGGCGGGTCCTGCGATTGGGTAGGTCTCGCTGGCTGTGGTGTTGGGGATGGGTAAGGTGAAGCTAGAGATCGGCGACTGGTACGGCTTGTAGATAAGCGCTGCCGAGCGGTCTGGTGAGCGTAAGTAACATTCATGGCCATGATTACAATCTTGTAAAGATCGTCTCAACATCGCATGTATCGTACGCAACAATGGTGGAGGTGAGAGAACAGCTCAAGTGGTTGAAGACATACTAGTAGTAGCTGGAGCGTTGCCAACATAAGCATATGTGGGTGCTACCTTACAATGTAGTTCAAGCGTTAGGTAGCGGGGCGGTGAGAGAGTCGTGAACGGTAAGTAGAATGTCTGTCATGGTGTGTCACATGCCGTAGCGATGCTTCGTGATATCAAAGGACAGTGAGATATGGTCGATTGTATATTTGAGGTAAAGCCCTATCCTCTGCTATTGAACGAACCTGTTCCCCATACGTGGAGCTATGTTAGCGTATCGCATCAAGCCAGTGAAGTCGAAGATCTCAATTGTTATAAGGGGTGCTCGTAAAAATCCACTATCGACCAGGAATTGCAAGGAAATACCATTAATTAAAAACATGCTATACGCCCACTCGTCTAATAGTTGGTATGCAATGCTGATCCTCCAGAAATGTACCCACAGTGCCTACATGCGCCAACCAAGCAAGCTCGTTACACATTATTTCGTAAGAAAAGATAGACGAAGAGACGAACGCGGATCTTTGAAACGTCTATCAGGAAGGAAAACGGTTGATACAAGAACAGAAACACTCAACATAGGAAACGTACTAATACATATCCTCTCCCCTCTCCTTGCCACTGCCATTAGTGTGTCTCACACTGCCAACCACACTGGCACGTCCACTGCCGCCGATGCGACTGCCGCCCGCAGACGCACTTCTTTGGATAGTGTCGGCATCATCTTCATCCCTTCGATCCCGCTCTTTTTCGAGTGCAGCCCTCAAGTCTGCATTTTCTTCCACTTTTTGCTCTAGCCTCTTCCGGGCGCCGCTTCGGTCAAGGAGTCGCGCTTCACGCTCAGCCTTCAACCGCCGTTCAAGTTCCTTGAGTCGATGTATCCACTTCTGCTCACTTGGTTGAAGCGGTCCAGCAGCAGGATAAGGGTGGCCTGGCGCAGGCGTCGATGAAGTAGAATAATTTTCGACTACAGAAGCGGAGTGAGCCCGCAACAGCGTTTGCGCCATACTGGCACGCTTGGAAGAGACTGGCGACGCAGCACGTGATGGCGAGCGGCTAACAATAACATCGTTGCCAGACTGCGTCGTGGTCGTGATGGCGCGGAGGGTTTGGACCTCGGATCGTAACGTTTTGTTTTCAGTACGCAGTTTGTTTAGTTCTGCGGTGTTAAGATCAACAATACCTCCACGAACAGTGCTAGGTCTTCCAATCGACTGTCGTTGAGCCATGACAAGCTTCTCAAGCTGGTCAAGTCGCTTGGAGCGTGCATCTAGGCTATGCTCAAGAGTCTGGTAGTCGCGGACGAGGTTGTTCTCTATATTGCGAATTCTTTGCTTGAAAGCACCAATGACACTCTCCACAGTCCTGACCGCAAGAATGATGTTCTTGTTGAAGCCTTGAACGTTCCTAGAAATGAGCTCCATCGAAGTAAGTTCTCCGTTGATGAGAGCGTTGTTGCGGGACCACTCTGCACCACAAAGGGTGGATAGTCGGTTCCACAGGGCGTATAGCAGATTGTTTCGCTCGAGCAGCTGCTCTTTGTATTGTTTCTCTAGACTGTGGAGTTTCTGGCGATCCTGGCTACGAAGAGTCTCCAGTTCCAGGACTCTTGATTCGTGTTGCTGAATCGCCCTGGCAGTGGATTGGTGACCGCGTTTGGCGTTCTCGAATGTGGTTTGGTCTTGTCGGCGGGCTTGGCGTTCACGTTCGAGCATCTCTGAAAGACGGCGGCTTTCCAAACCGGCGCTCTCCAGGAGGGTGTCGCGGGCACGCAACAAACGGTCCTTTTCTGCAAGATCGGCTTTGACAACTTCGAGCTCTTGCATAGTCGCTTGGAGGTCTCGTTGGAGCTTTGCAATGTCCTGGAAATTTAGGGTTAGTGTATGTCCAGCCGCTATAGTCAGTTTCGCTTACCTTGAAGAGGCTTGACCTCGTACCGTTGAGGTTTCCCAGAGACTCACGAAGAGTGTGCTCCAGTTCGTCATGGCGCTGCTTCCAGGTGGATGCCTCAACTTCTTTGCTTGACAGGTTCTTTCGTAGCTTCCTGCTGTCCTCCTTGAGCTTTGTCAATTGACCGTTCAGGTCGGTGATGATCTTCTCCACCTCTTGCTTCTCTTGAGTCTCCAAAACATCGCGTTGCTGCCTTTCCTCAGCCATGCGCTCCTCGAGATCTCGGGAACGTTCTCTCGCCTCCTGCAACGTGACTTGAGTGTGGTTCAGGGCTGACTCTAACTCGCCAATCTTGATCTTGTCGCCTTCTTGCTCTTCTCTCAGGAAGTCAATCTCACCCTGACATGACTCAAGCTGAACGTCCAATCGCTCATTCTTAGACCTCTCCTCACTAAGAAGCTTGTCTTGCCTGTTCAACTCTTCATTTGCGTCTCCGAGCTCAGCTTCAAGGTTCTGAATCTTGCGTAGGCTTGCGTCCCGGTCGTCCTCGAGCTGTAAAAGGCTCTCGCTGACATTCTTCATTTCCTGCTGTAGGGCGTGGAAGTCTTCAGTGGTGTTTTCGAGATCATTGTAAAGACGATCACGTTCCGCTTGCTTCTGTTCAAGATCAATCTCTAGCCTTTGAACTGTATCCAGCGCTTCCTGCCTTAGCTCCTCACATTCCTGCTCTTTGTCTTGTAGCAGCTCGAGTGCCTCGTCGCGCTCACTTGCTAGTGCTTGAAGATCTTCTGTCTGTGCTTCGATCTCCCTCTCTAGCTCCTTGACCTTGTTCTCAGTAGTCTCAAGCATGTCGAGATGACCGTTAAGCTGGTCGTCAAGCTCTTTGTAGGAAAGCTTGAGCTGAGATAGCTCATCTCGAAGAGCAGCATGTTTGCTTTCGAAGTCTTCTCGATCAGGATCGCTTTGCTGGGTCAAACGCGTCCCGCCGCTTGCTCTTGAAACAGACCTCATGTGGTTGCGGGAGATGGAGCGCTCCAGAATACTATCGCCGGCCGTCGATCCTGCATCTCCTCTTCGAATTGTGAGTTTCAAGCCTTCGTTCTCTTCCCTAAGACGGAGGTTTTCTCGATTCCTTGATGTGAGCATAGAGGCTTGTGCGTGAAGGTCTCGTTGCAATTTCTCATTGTCGCTCTGTAGGTGTTCCACCAAGGTGCTGCTTGTGCCACCAAGAGAGATTGGCGCAGTATTCTCGTTGCCATCAGAGCCAGAATTTGAACGAGCAGCAAAAGATTGCTGGATGCGCCGTGAGTTGTTCAAGGTTTTGTTGAAGTGATGGTTCGTCGTCGAGTGTTGCATCTGTTGGTTCTGCTCTTTCAAGCGTTCGACCTCTTCTCGAAGTCTTTCGCTTTCAGTCTCTGCTTGCTGACAGCGACTCTCGACTTGCTCACGCCTTGCGCGTTCCTCCTCGAAATCCTCTTTCCACATGTTGATGGCCTCGTCAAAACCAGCGGAGTCTTCACCAGAGCTCTTCTCTCGCATTGTCTTGATGTAATCAGCCATGCGTCGGTTGTCTGCTTCTTTCTGAAGTGCCTCCTGCTGCCACTGGTCCACAGTGATCTCTGTAGATTCTAGGCGCTCTCGTAGAAACTCGATTTCCTCCTCTAACTCAGCTTGCCTAGACGACTGAACACTTCTCCCGTCCTCCGAACCGCTGCCAAGGTCCCTGGAACTAGCGTTACCTTCCTCCTGAGCCTTGAGTCTTCGCTCTAGATCACGAATTTTCTTGCGCATTGACTGACTTTCCTTCTTCTCTGTCGCAAGATCGGTTTGCAGTTGGACGTTCTTTGAGATCATCTCCTTGACTCCCTCGTCAGATCGATTCTGAAGCGCTTGGTCGAGGAAATGAATCTTGAGTTTGAGATCAAAGTTTTCTTTGCTGAGCTTATCAATCTTGCTATTCTGTTCCTTCAGTGTAAGGTTGTGTTTGCTCCGAGTGAAGGGAGTGGCCATGTGCCGTTTGTCTGGCGACCGCGAGTGCTTAGCCCGGAAATCGCGTGCAATAGAATCCGGTACCTGTATGTCTTGAACATGCCTGGCGATAACGGTGTCTGTGGGGGCAGCAGGCTGCACGCTGGGAGCGCGAGGTGTCTCGGGTGGAGTTGCGCTATTAGGGACTTCCTCATCTAAACGACCCAGACCATTATCCGGCTGGAGGAAAGCAGAGAGAGAGTTAGTACTGATACTCCGGCCCTTCTCCCAGGGGTTGGTATCGCTGTATCCCGACATTGACGAGGCTATGCTACCTAAGCTCGGCAATCTTGATAGCCCAAGGCTCATCCCTCGTGGTCCACTTGAGCGAGGGATTGCGCCACCAGTTTGCAAGGCATAGTCTGCACCAAGACTCGCTGTGCTTCCGCCATCTCCAGATGCATCAGACCGGTTAGTGAATGAAGACACGGATGATCGTTGGCTCGAATGGCGATGCTGCAGGTAGCTCGGTCGCTTACTAATCTTTTGCGCGGTCGCAGGAACCGGTGGTGGAGGCATAGCTATGCTATCTACGCTGGATTCGTTCTCGTTCGTAAGGGAGGAGCCCTCTTCAACTAGAGAGAAGTCGGGAGCTTTTACTGTCGAGGCACTGGATGTGGGCCGTCGCACGTCCACTTCTTTCTGCTGGGCGCCTGGAGCAGCCTGTTCCTCTCGACGCGAGCCGTCCTCTTCCTCCCCCTCCGATTGTTCCGTAGTCTGGCTTGCTGAAGCGCGCGATTGACTTCGTTGCGCGGCTTCCGCGGCGGGCGAGGAAGGTCCAACCTCTGATGTTGCGGTGCTCGTATCCATCGAGTCGTCGGCCCCAAAGTCCAAGCGTCTCGCAGCAGGTGTCTTGTAGGCATCCGCGGGCGTGGGAGCCTCAGAAAAGGATGAAGAGTTGCTATGAAGAGTATTCCTGGATTGCGACTTGGTCGGTGTGTTTCCACTGCGTACTTCAAGCTTCTTGGGCTTCTTCTTTGGCTTTAGCAATTCTTCTAGGTTGTTCATTACTCGCTGCATATCTGCGTCGTCACGCAGAGGTCGAGCTGATTGTTGAGAATTTCCTGGTGAGCCCCCGAATAAGTAGGTATCGTCTACGCCGGACTGTCCTTGAGGTGCTTCGACCTGGATAGGCGCCTCTGGGATAAAGCTCGATTCGATGTCCATCAATTGGCGCTTCATCTCGCGATCCTCAAAGACACTCTCGTCATTATGCGCGTCTTTCTCCTCGATAACATGATGTATGATGCTGTCGTCTTCCTCGGTTGGTAAGGGCGGCAGGTCAGCGTCGGGCTGGTCAAAAGCCCTGACATCGTCGGCCTCTGAGATATCGTGCGCCATGTAGTTTTCGTGTGTGTGTGCCAGCGTGGGGGTGGAGGGTGTGGAGTCGAGTTCGTCTGTTTGCGAGGCCTCAGCACTCGAAGCAGGAGCGGTGTCTGTCGCCATGGGGGCCGGTGCGCGCACAATGAGGGGGGAAGTCGCGTGGTATGGAGTATTTTCGAGGCCTGCTCACCAGCATAGTGCAACTGCCGAGGCTGCGGTGGAGTGAAAGTTGACGACAAGTGCGGTGATTCCCTGCACTCGCCTGTGAGTGACAACAGAGCGCGCGTTGTTTGCGCTAGTATGAATCCGGCATGTTGCCCTACCATTCTGCCGGTCCGTTCCTAGACCAACCGGATCGGCTGCCGGACTATGTGGGCATGCCGTACCCAGATGTGTGTTTGATGTGATACTAGGTACCTTCGTGTTTATACTGCGCGGTTTCCTCATTTGTCTGTAGTGCCTATGTTGATGATTAAGTGCTTCCATGTGCGCAGTTGATCGTAAACACACAGACCATCTACATAGTCCAAACTGCGAATACAGAGGGAAAGGTGATAAATGTACATCTTGATTGTGGCATGGCCTGATGCTACTGGATGGTCTTAGCAAGTACTATGCCTCCATAAACCAATGCTCGTATTAACTCCTGCTAAACGCTTATGGCCTTTTAACGTGTCGGCGTTGTTGCTGATAACGTTCCGATACATGTGTACGTATGTGATGTGAAGTATCTGAACCGGTCCAGCGGAGCAGCACAGATATTGGTCTCTGGCCGCATGCGCTTTCTGGTATGAAGATTCTGTGTGCGTAGATGTCATGCTAGTTCAAGTAGTCATGCAGCATTTCTCAAGCCATTGCCGCTTCCTTCGCCCGCTTTTTATCCTTCTTCGCTTTCTTTTCCTCTTTTCTCTTGGTCTCCTCTGGATCCCGGTGCTTCTTGGTCTTCTTTGATGGCACTTCAGGCGTATCGACACCATTGACATCAGCATGTTTCCTCTTTGGCTTCTT